CTCGCGAGAGGACGGGCCTCGCCGGCGATAGCGATAGTGAGCTGCTGTGGTGGTGGTGGTGGCGGTGGCGGCGGCGGCGGCGGCGGCGGCGGCGGTGGCGGCGGCGGCGGCGGCCGAGAAGGCGGCGGCCATTTTGGTGAGGCCTCGGAAGCGGCGGCGGCGCTTCGCTTGTACTAGCGTGTCTCATTTTTTCCACCCACCGCCCGCACCTCTGTGGCATGAGAAGAGGTAGTGGAAGCAAGGCGGTGGCAATAGCCGCGGGCCCCAGGGGACTTTAAAAGCCGCGAAGGCGGCGTCCAAGAGGTGGCCCTCCCCCTCCTCGGCGGGAGGGGGGTGGTTCGCACGCCCCCGAGGACGCAGGTAAGGAGAGGGAGACAAGATGGCGGACGCCCCACAGTTCCCCCGCCCCTGACGGGTGATTGCGCGCGCAGCTTTCCGCCACCACCTCCCCTCCCACCTTCCCGGGATGCTGCGCGCGCACCTTCGGCGGAGGCCCCGGGGCTGGTGCGCGAGGCTGTCGGCGCGCGCTCATAGAGACAGACTGAGGGGGGGCCAGGCCGGCTTGCCTGCACTGGGCCTGGGCGCGTCTCCTCTCCCCTCCCGCACGTCTGCGCACGCGTGCCTGAGCGAGCGAGCGAGCCAGCCCTGAGAGGACGGACCCAGGTGCGCTCCTGCCCGCCCACCAACCCCAGCCCCCCCTCAGGAGCGCGCGGGAAGAGGAAGGGGGGCGTGGGATGAGTAGTCGGGGCGTGCGCCCATCATATCCCGTCAGGGGTCAGGACCTGGCGGCTCGAAGCCTTTCGCGGTCTGGGGGGACGCGGGGGGGGGCTCCCTGACAGGCAGGGCTGAGAGGTCGCCCTGCCCCGCGACCCTCGTGTGCGTGGGTTTGGGTTCTGGCGGGAGCCCCCGGGCGATGCGCGCAGCCGGTTCACTCCGCTTCCAGCCGCGCTCGCGCGGGCCCCTCCCCCAGTCCATCGCGCACGTTGGGTAGGGTGGGAGTTTAGGAGGGGGCGCGCTACTAAGGCTAGTGGCCGCTTGGGTCAGAGGTCAGGGGTCACGCTGCGTCAGTCTGTCGGGAGGGGTTGGGAGAAAGTAGTGACGTTTGGGGTTAAGAGTTCAGGCTTCTTGTATTATAGTTCGCTAGGGTCCTGTGAGCCTGTCGTGAAGCAGGGCGTGAATCAGAGGCAGCACCCGTGGTTAAGGAATTTCCTTAACCACTGGGGAAACACTTCCGGGCCTTGTGTGGGTTCCCTGCCTGTTTCCGCCCCGGGTCTTTGCTGAGCGGCCTTGCTCACATCTGATGGCTCCTCTCATGTTTCCTGCTGTAGTTCTTGTGTTTGGGGAAGTGTCTCCTGGTGCAGGTATGGGAGTCACAGGGCCCTACCCTGAGGAAGGGTGGCTGCTTCTGTGACTGTGTTCTGCCCTCCCTGGCAAGGAGAGCTGGCTGCCTGGCAGCCAGCACCTCTTGGAACTTCTGGATATGACAGTGTTTTTTCTTTATTTGCCCTTCATTCAGTTGCTGGGGCTAATTAGACTTTGGCTTTTTAAACTTTTTGTTGTTTTTTTTCTTCTTCTTCACTTCCTTGCTTTTCCCACCAGCCAGAACCTTCTGTCCCTAGGGAACTCTGCTTTCATAAAACGTGATTTGCTTTTATTTTTCTGAAATGTGAGCTTTCCCTACTACTGTAACTTTTTTCAGCCTTTGAACCGATGTGGGTATATTTACAAGCCTCAAAAGTTGCTAGAAGAAGGCTATGCTGGATGTTGGGGAATGTGGATTGATCCCTCACTCCTGTTTTCCCTCCCTTTCGTTTGTTTCAGTTGCGATTACCCTCAGAACGGCGGCACCGTGGAAGTACAGACTTTCACAGGGGGTGTGGTCTCAGCTCACACAGGTGAGGGTTCAGATACCATTTTGTGTACTGATGCTAATGGGAGAGAGGTTTGGGATCATTGAGGAGAGAAATTATAGGTTAATACTTCTGGGTTGATGTTAGCATTGCAGTAATAGAACTGAGGCTGTGGATAGAGAAAGATCTGATCACCCTGGCTGTGTCTAGGAGAATAGCATGGCCTCCATGGTTTTGGCATCAGTACCCAGGTTTAAGCCTTTCTCCTATCACTTCCTTCTTGTCACTTGGTCATTTGCTTTCGAGTCCTGATTTCCTAACTTGTGAAATAGAGAAAATATTAGAATGTAAGCTTCATTTAGGTTAGGGATCTTTTCTGTATGGCTCTATCCTCAGTATGTAGAAGGAACTAAGTAAATGTTTATTATGTTGTGAAAAGTACCTGGTTTGTAAGGTAGATGTGAGAATTATAGAATATATGAAGTACTAAGTGTCTTCACAGTAGATGCTCAAGAAATGCAGGTTCTAATCACTCTGTTCATTTATCTTTATTTTCACATGTTATTCCTGGTTATTTCAAAGACTAATCTCTTAAAATCCCGTTTCTACTCATTTTTACTCTACTTTAGGTGCTCCAGAGGCCGGTGGACCTGAGTGGAGGCTGGGACGCCCTAGTGGGCCCCGGGCCCTGGAAGGCGGGTCCCGGTGGCCGGTGGCCCAGAATGAGGCCAGCTCCCAGCATGCCCTGCAGCCGGACGTCAGCCCCTCGGCCAGCAGCAGTGGTGACAACGACCCAGTCATTCTTAAGGCCCCCAAAGAGGAGCCTGGGAGTGGGACCATGCAGAGCAGCCCCTCCCCTGCTCACCCTCAGCTCCCAGTCCTGCAGACACAGGTTTGAAAGGGGGAGGATTCTTACTCTACTTGTGCTTTGGGGGCTACTAGCTCAGGCAGAAGAAACATGGCAGGTCCTAGCCATGTTTCCGTGATGCTAGGTACCTGGGGAACTGAATTTGGAGAACCTCTGGTGTTCAGGTGGGCTGTTAAGCCTGTTGGGACACTCCATTGTACCCGACATCAGTGTAACGTTGACCTCTGAGACTGTGGAAACTCCTTGGTACCTGAAAGAGGTTGAATTAGGCCAGGTTGGGACAACATGCTTTTAAGATGTTGTGCTTTGAGACTAGCTCAGTTTCTTTTGGTAGTGGAACAAGTGTTACGGATGGTGTGTAGTATTCCTTTTCTCATACCAAGGAAGTGCGGGCGGGTAAGGGAAAAAATTATAGCTTTTGATACCAGACCTTGGTTTGTGTACAGTAGGTTTTTAAAAAAATCTTTATATTTACAGTGTCAACATTGCTTCTAGTTGTTGGACTTCTGTTCAGCTAGACTTCAGGTGATTCTCGATGATGGTGGTTCTGTAGTTTGGTTGTAATTTTGATGTGGTCCTGTGAGGAGGCGAGCGCAGGATTTACCTGCTCCTCCATCTTTAACTAGAAGTTACAGTGTGCTTTTGATGGTTATGGATTTGATATTTATAATTTTCTTGAGCAGCTGAGAAATTTTGTGACATAAGAGTCTGGTCATTTAGCTGAGTAGGATTTTGAATGGCACACTGTGAAGCTTGTGTGCTGGAGTGAATTTCATGAGTTCCCTCACTCTCCACAGTTAACTAGGACTTTGTTTTCCACTTCTTCCTGATCATGAAGGATCTTGTAATTTAATAGGTGGTCTTTGAGGACAGTGACAACACTCCCTCCCCTTATACCTCCCTAGTAAGGGAAGCTACCAAGACTGGTAATGACTGTAGAGGCTTAGGTGATCTTGTTGTTGTTTTTTTTTTTAATGCCTTTTGAATTTGGTAGCTTGAATTGATTTGCATAGATGAATCTGCCATGCTTGCTATGAAAAGGAGGGAAGAATAGAGATTTGTTTATGTGAGTGAAATCATTGAAGTTCTGAAAGTTCTGAATGTTTCTGAAGTTTCATTAACATTTGAGGTCACCCACTATAGTAGTAGACTTGGATTTCAGGCTCAAACTCCTTGCATGCCAAGCACCTACTATAAACTTGGTTCTGCCTTCTCAAGTACCTCGTTAAAACTCTACCCCAAAATTTGTGTTTACAGAAATTAGGTCGATACCTTACTCCAGAGTGTTTTCTTAGGAAGGTAGAATGAAATAATATACTTTAAACTCCTGGTACAGTGCTAAGCCTTCATTTTATCTTTCTTTTCTAGATGGTGTCGGACGGCATGACAGGCAGCAATCCTGTGTCCCCTGCCTCATCCAGTTCCCCAGCCTCTAGTGGGGCAGGTGGCATCTCTCCCCAGCATATAGCTCAAGATTCCTCTCTGGATGGACCTCTGGGGCCCCCGGATGGTGCCACAGCACCCCTGGAGGGGCTCAGCTTATCCCAGGCTGCTGACCTGGCTAACAGGGGTCCAAAGTGGGAGAAAAGCCATGCTGAGATCGCAGAGCAGGCCAAGCATGTATGTATCGGGAAGGCTCGTGAGGCATCTCGGGCGTCTTGTTCCCTGAGTTCCTACGTCCCAGGGGTATTTCACATTTCTTTCCTCCTCATGAATTTAGAGTACAGGTTCTGTCTTATTTTCCATGATCTTGAGCACGTTGCTTGACCTCTGAGCCTCGTTACTTTTTCTATAACATAGAGGTGGTGTACTAGTTAAGAGACTAGTATCAGTTTAGAGACATGAACGTGCTTTGTAAACTGAGGTTCTTAAGTTACTGGTTTCTATTGTCTGAAGCTAAGCTGCTTCTCATTTCTATCCTGCAGTGTCTGTTAACAACACTTAACCATTAGTAAGTGTGGCCCCTGGGCCTGCAGTGTCAGCATTACCTGGAAAGTTGTGAGAAATGCAAATTCTTGGTACCCCTCTTCCATCTGCCCACTGAAAACTTCAGTGGGGCCCAGTAATCTATCTTACAAAGCACTTCAGGTTCTGCTGCACGCTCAGATTGGAGAGCCGTTGGTCTGGTGCTCATGTCTTTCTTGACGTTTTCTTCACTATCAGGCCATTTAGTTCCATGAATTATCTCTGGCTCTTATTTCCTCTGGTTTAGTTTTTGTCAGGAGAGGACAAGAATAATGAAGGCAGTTGTCCTAAGTTTTAAAGCCACCTCTGTTAAAGAAAAAATTCTAAATGCTTTTATTTTTTTTCTTATGCAATATAATTAATGTAGAAACAATGTTAACTTTTTGTGTATGATTTTTCCGTATTTTCATAAGCACATTTTTAGAAAAGTGGTGTTTTATTTTTATTTTTTTTTTTTTTAAGATTTTTATTGGGGAATTGGGGGAGATGGGAACAGCGGTAGGGAATTGGGGGAAGGGGAACAGACAAGTTGCTGTCCTTTTTGTTCTTCAGTCTAGTTGTGGAGGATGTTGCTTCACTGGCCCATGTTGGCACCATCATTGCGCTCTTCCTGGGTGAGGCAGATGAGTCGCCGGCTTCTGGACGGCCACTCACGCTGGCTGCTGGCTACACATGGTAGTCCATGGCAACGCACTGCCACAGGGGCTGCAGCCTACGCTGTCGCCGGCGACTCATGGCAGCCCAGCTCCAGGTTGAGCTGTTGTTCAGCATCTTAGCTGTGGAGGACAATGTCATTCATTGGCCCTCATATGTGGAATCCGAACCGGGGCCCTCTGGCATCCCAAGCCTTTTTTTTTTTTTTTTTTTGTATTGGGGAGCTAGGGGGATGGCAACAGTGCTGGGGAATTGGGGGAAGGGGAACAGACAAGTTGCTGTTGTTTTGTTCTTCAGTCTAGTTGTGGAGGATGTTGCTTCACTGGCCCATGTTGGCACCATCATTGCGCTCTTCCTGGGCGAGGCACATCAGTCACCGGCTGGACGGCCGCTCACTGCGGCTGCTGGCCGCTCACGCTGGCTGCTGGCTACATACGGTAGCCCATGGCAACTCACTGCCACAGGGGCTGCAGCCTACGCCGTCACCAGCGACTCATGGCAGCCCAGCTCCAGGTTGAGCTGTTGTTCAGCATCTTAGCTGTAGAGGGCAGTGTCACTGGCCCTCATATGTGGGATCCGAACCGGGGCCCTCTGGCGTCCCAAGCGAGTTCTTAACCATCGCACCACTCGGCCGGCCCAAAAGTGGTATTTTAAAAAAACAAACAGGATTGTGTAAATTGGGGTTCATAGCATGTTTCTAAACATGAACATGCTCGTATGTAAGAATTCTGCAGCACCGAAGAACTCTTGGCACAGGAGTCAGTAAAAAAACATGCGCTCCTGCTTCTCAGCAGTTCTTTTGGGGATGCTTTCCTATGTCTCGCCTATATTCTTAGGGAGTGGAAGTTGTGTGCAATAATGGAAAGAACATGAAATGTGGTGTTTAGAGCCATTAGACCTGTTTTTAATTCTCAGCTGTTAATACTTCCTGGCTGTGTGATCTCAAGTAAATTGCTTAATTTTCGTGATCTTTTTATTTTTTTTTTATTCACCTGAAGAGAGCATATAATACCTACTTGTAGAATTGGTATGTGGACTTAAGATGAGCATAGCACACTCAGCCCAGCTGGTCCTGGGATTCAGCCATGGTCAGGAGGTGGAGTTCATGTTCAGTAACTTGATTGACACAGCTCTCCCTCAATAGGAGGCTGAGATTGAGACTCGGATTGCTGAACTGCGGAAGGAGGGGTTCTGGTCCTTGAAGAGGCTGCCCAAAGTGCCCGAGCCGCCGCGTCCCAAAGGTCACTGGGACTACCTGTGTGAGGAGATGCAGTGGCTGTCTGCCGACTTTGCTCAGGAGCGCCGCTGGAAACGTGGCGTGGCCCGCAAAGTACGTCTTCACCTGGGCCTGTCTTTCATTTCCGTCTCAGGTTGGCTTTTCCTTGTTGGGTGGGCTGGTTGGAAGGAAGCCATGCAGAACAGTGTAGGATGTGTATTAACGCCCATGTTCTCAAGAGGCAAGCTCCAGCTTCTTAAGCTTCTCGGCCCTGATGGTTTTCTTTGCTTCTGACTTGGGGAGAAGGCAGGGCCTGGCCTTGGGCGTTTTCACGCTGGCTCCGCATCCCGCAGGTGGTCCGCATGGTGATCCGGCACCACGAGGAGCAGCGGCAGAAAGAGGAACGGGCCCGGAGGGAGGAGCAGGCCAAGCTGCGTCGAATCGCCTCCTCCATGGCCAAGGATGTCAGGCAGTTCTGGAGCAACGTGGAGAAGGTAGGCCACAGGGCTTGGGACGGGAGCTGGGTGCCACAGGGTTGGTTGGTGGGTAGCATGGTAGCAGGAATGAGCGAAGCTCTGTGAGAGAGCGAAGAGTGTAATTTCAAGCAGCTTTAATGGTATTTCTGTTGTGCGTTGGCCCTTTTGAGCATCAAGTGCTATAAAGAAGAAAGAAAAACATGGGCCCTGCCTTTGGGGATTGTTAGTAGGACATCTTGACTCCTCTATGCTATCGGTTTTTTGCAGGGCATTCAGCATGCTGTTTCTACAAGCTGTCTGCCAGTTACCTGCCTAAATACCATCCAAGTTCTTAACTGATTAAATTGTTCATGGTTATCAAGCTGTAATTGTTTCTCAAGCACTACCTGGTTTCTGTCTGTATCTTCAGTGCGTACTGCCAGGTCCTTTTCCTCGCCTTTCCACTTCAAACATGTTCCTCCATTAACATGTGGCTTTCTGCTTCTGGGAATGCCTTTCTCCTCATTTTCACTTAGGGAGTGCCTACTTGGACTTTGCGATTCAGCTCCAGGTACTTTGCAAATCTTTCTCTGTTGCCTGAAGCTAAGCTGGCTCTTCTCTCCCCTCTCCTGCCTTGGTGCTTCCCACAGGAGCTCCTTTGAGGTCCTTTAGACCTTCTTCCTTAGAAGCCAGCCCAGGGCCTAGCATGCATGAACAGAGATTGCCTGAGTAACTCATCCCTTTTGTGCTTGTGGCAGGTGGTGCAATTTAAGCAACAGTCACGGCTGGAGGAAAAGCGCAAGAAGGCTCTGGACCTGCACCTGGACTTCATCGTGGGGCAGACTGAGAAGTACTCAGACCTTCTGTCTCAGAGCCTCAACCAGCCGCCGGCCTCCAGCAAAGCTGGCTCCTCCCCCTGCCTTGGCTCTTCCTCAGCCGCCTCTAGTCCTCCGCCCCCAGTTTCCCAGCTGGACGACGAAGGTGTGTGTCCTCTTTGGCTCTGTTCCTCTTCCTCCTGTGCCCTTCCCAGAGCTGAAAACCCACCCTGTGGCTTGCAGGGCCTGTGGACTTAGTGACCTTGTTCTCCTGCTCTAGATGGAGACTTCCAGCCCCAAGAGGAGGAGGAAGAGGATGATGAGGAGACGATCGAGGTTGAAGAACAGCAGGAAGGCAATGACGCAGAGACCCAGAGGCGTGAGATCGAGCTGCTTAGACGCGAGGGGGAGCTGCCGCTGGAAGAGTTGCTTCGTTCCCTTCCCCCTCAGCTGCTAGGAGGGCCTTCCAGCTCCTCGAGAACCCCATCATCTCGTGGTAGTGACACCGGAGAGGGGCCTGAAGAAGGTGGTGAGGAAGAGCCCTCTCAGGTGCTAAAGGTAAGGACGCTCGCATTGGGGACAGAGGGAGGGGTGCGCGGACTGAGCGCTGGTTTGAGGTGGTGGTTTCCAGGAGTCCTCCCTGGTTAAGGGCAATGTTGGGGGCTCTGTTTGGGGATGGATAGGGAAGAATCTGGGTTTGGGCAAGTTCAGTCTGAGATGGGCAGAGTTTCTGATGCTGTCGTGGAAGAGTATACCATACTGTACTCTGTAAATTGCTGTGTGAATTGCTTGAAACAAATTCTTATCCTGGCCCGTACCACTCATTAAAGGGCCCTGATACGTCCTTTCTGGTTTGTTGGTGTGGAACTGGAACGGTAATCTTGAAGTCACTTTGGGACCCGAGCTCTCTGTTTCTCCGTGTGTTTGAGTGCAGGGTGGGGGCAGTGAGGGCCTGCACTCTGGCAGAGCACTTTTCACAGGTCCTCCCCCAGACAGTGGGGCGAGGATTTGGTAGCTAGTGCTGAAAGAAAACCCTTGATTGCATCCTTGCCGTGGGCCTGTGCCAGTGGCAGCTTTCACTCAAGGGGACAGAGAGTGTTCTATGGAATCGTATTCAGCATTGGGCCTGTCTCCCGGGGCTCTCACCTTCTGTCCTCTCCCTTTTCCTCCTTTGTCATACAGGTAAAGCCCCCGCCCTCCGTTACACAGCGAAACAAGCAGCCTTGGCATCCAGATGAGGATGATGAGGAGTTTACTGCCAACGAGGATGAAGGTCAGGCCTCTTCTCTTTGTCTTTGAGTAGTCTGGACCTAACATCTCAGGCTTTTTCACCTCGTCCATGTGGACAGTGCCTCTGCCTCTGTCCCCATTGATGGTGCTCCGTTCTCTTTTTCCAGCTGAGGATGAAGAAGACACCATAGCAGCTGAGGAGCAGTTGGAAGGGGACGTGGATCATGCCACAGAGCTGAGCGAGCTGGCTCGAGAAGGTGACATTCTCTAGACAGTTTCCTGAGTGCCCACTGTGTCTCCTGCACAGTGCTGATGCTAAGACTCTTCTTACTCCCTCTGGAGGAACTCCAGGTCTAATGACAAGGACAGGCTTATAGATGAATAAGTACAAATAGAATGGGATGACTGGTGGTGATAGAATTGCATACAAAGTGATGTGAGCACTCACGGAGGGAAGAGGATGGTGAAGGACGTTGGTTGTGTTTGGCCTGAACCTTAAAGGGAGGTTCATCAGCAAAAAGGACGGCAACTTGTCTGTTCCCCTTCCCCAATTTAAAAAAAAAAAAAAAATCTAAAAAAAAGTGGTTCATTAGGTGGAGGTTGTCTTTCCAGCAGAGGCAGCTCCATCCACGGTTTTAGGGCCTTTGCTGGTGCTGAGAGTAAACTCTTCTGGCTGCCTTGGACCTGAGCGTAGCCGTGTGCAGAGACCCAGGTCCGATGAACTGACAGTGCTCAGGCCTTCCCTCTTGAAGCCCGCTCACTCACTGCCGTTTCTCCCCTAGGGGAGCTGTCTGTGGAGGAGCTGCTGCGCCAGTACGCGGGAGCCTATGCCTCTGATGCCTCTGCCCCGGGCTCAGCCAGCAGCGAAGAGGAAGAGGAGCTGGAGGCCAGCAGCTCTGACAGTGAACCAGAGGGGGCCGCAGAGGAGGAGAGCAGCAGCCAATCAGGTGACTGTGTGGTCCTGAGAGGGGTGGGGCGGGCGGGCAGCGCCCTCCGGGGAGGGGAGCAGAGTGCTGAGCCCCAGGCCTTGGTCTTGTGCTGCAGACTCCTCTGCGGAGCAGAGCCAGGACGAGGATGGTGAGCATTCTGAGGAGGAAGAGACAAATGGGAGTTCAGAATCCGAGGAATCCGAGTCTGACGAGTCTGAGGAGACCCCGCCGCAGAGCCAAGCAGAGGAGGACGAGGACGATGACTTTGGGGTGGAATACTTGCTGGCCCGGGATGAAGAGCAGAGTGAGGCAGATGGGGGCAGTGGGCCTCCTACCCCAGGGCCCGCCACCACGCTGGGCCCTAAGAAAGAAATTACTGACATCGCTGCAGCTGCTGAGAGCCTCCAGCCCAAAGGTTACACGTTGGCCACCACCCAGGTATTCCCGGGCCCAGCGGTTGCTTTCCTAAACCTTGACTTCCTGGCATGAGTGACAGGTGCCTCTGCTCCCCCATGATACCTCCTCTTCCCTGCCAGGTGAAGACGCCCATCCCCCTGCTCCTGCGGGGTCAGCTGCGGGAGTACCAGCACATTGGCTTGGACTGGCTTGTGACGATGTACGAGAAGAAGCTCAACGGCATTCTTGCTGATGAGATGGGGCTCGGCAAGACCATCCAGACCATCTCCCTGCTGGCCCACTTGGCCTGTGAGAAAGGTAACTGGGCAGGGTCCTTCCCCTAGGGTCAGCTCAGCTATCTCCCTGGGCAGCTTGTCTAATGGAGACTCCATCTGCGGATGGTGAAACTCCCACCAGACTTCTGCTGGTATCTAAGTAGGTTCATGGGTTCTGGTCGGGACCTGTCTATAGAGAGGCTATTGCAAATGCTGGGGTTCTTGGGACAGACCGGTCAGGGCTAGGTTCGAGGAACCAGAACCCCAGAGTTTGCTTCTTTACCATCTCTCATTATTTCTTTAAATTCCTCTTTAAAATCTTTCCAAATCTTACTGTTTAAAATTGAGGTGTAATCGACATATATTAATTTAAGGTGTACAACATAATGATTCGATATTTGTGTACATTGAGAAATGATCACCACAGTAAATCTAGTTAATGCCTGTCACCATGTGTAGTTACAAAATTTTTTATTTATAATGAGAACTTTTAAGATCTATCTTAGCAATTTTCAAATGTGTAATACAGTATCGTTAACTATAGTTATCATGCCGTACATCTCTCATTCTTTTCCTGAACAGGTAACTGGGGCCCCCATTTGATCATTGTCCCCACCAGTGTGATGTTGAACTGGGAGATGGAGCTGAAGCGTTGGTGCCCCAGCTTTAAAATCCTCACCTACTATGGAGCCCAGAAAGAGAGGAAGCTCAAGCGACAGGTTCGCTCCTCCACGCAGACACCCCTTCACCCTCAGTCGAAGCTTCCTCTTCTTTTCCCTTTTCTTCTTTTTTTTTCAGCCCTTCAGATGAGTTTTTCCCCCTCTCCTTTCTGTCGCTCCATGCTGCTCCTGGGACTTTCTCTTTTCTCGACCTGCTGTCTGTCCCTTGAGGACCTTCACGTGTCTTCCCTTTGCCCTGTCCTTTCTTTTCACCCCCCGACCTGCCACTTTCTCTGGTTCCTCAGGGCTGGACCAAGCCCAACGCCTTCCATGTGTGCATCACGTCGTATAAGCTGGTGCTGCAGGACCATCAGGCTTTCCGCCGCAAGAACTGGCGCTATCTCATCCTGGACGAGGCTCAGAACATCAAGAACTTCAAGTCGCAACGCTGGCAGTCACTGCTCAACTTCAACAGGTGGGCACGGAATGGGTGTGGATGCGAGGGCTGCTGGGGTCCCAGGCCCTGGGGTTGCTCGGAAGGCTGAGAATTCGCTGACGCCTTCCCTCTAATCCCCTGTCTCTCTGCAGCCAGAGACGCCTGCTCCTGACAGGAACTCCCTTGCAGAACAGCCTCATGGAGCTGTGGTCCTTGATGCACTTTTTGATGCCCCATGTCTTCCAGTCTCATCGCGAGTTCAAAGAATGGTTCTCTAACCCCCTAACCGGCATGATTGAGGGCAGCCAAGAGTACAATGAAGGGCTTGTCAAGCGCCTCCACAAGGTAGGGCCTGTAGCCATTTGTCAGGGGCATTGGGAATGGTGAGGGGCTAAGGTCAGCCCCCAGAAAACCCTTAGGGAGGGAAGGCAGAGAGCGAGGCAGAATTCACCCAGCTGTCAGGTTGCAGTTCTCTGAGTGAGTAACCCATTGTGGACTGAGTGACATCATCTCCGTCATTCTGCTTGTTTTCTTTAATGGTGACATTTCTGTCCTTATTCTCTGAGTAGAATGATACTGCTGATCAGTGCTGCTTGGATTTCTCTTCACCTGGCTTTCCTCAACTTTGTATTTTTGTTGTGTTCTTCCCCCACCAGCATCTCTCTCCCCCTCTCCCGCCACCTCTTCCTCCCCTTCCTTTCTTTTCTCTCTCCTGCCTGCCTTTCTCTTGTCTTTTCTGGTCCCTCTTTCTTTGTCTAGCTTTTAAATGACATCTCTCAGCATCCTGATTTTTACTTTTTTGTCTCCCAGTTTATCTTGCAGGCATATTCATTCATAAGGCTTTAAAGACTCCCAATTTGTGTTTTTAATCCTTTGGCTCTCTAGACCACTTAAGGAGTGGTCTAGAGAGCCAAAGACTCCATGAGTCTAGTGTAAATTTGACTCAATGTCTTTAATCCAAGGTACATCTTGAACTCATTCTGTTTTAACCCAAACACCTCAGGCCTTATAGCCTATTATTTCTGTTCCATTTTGGTCAGTCACACCATCATTTTGATAAATCAAACTAGAAACAAAGAAGTCTTCCTTCATTTCCCTTCCCTCACTTCTTGCATGTTAAGTCGATGACTCTGCCTGTCAGGTTTTATCTCCTGACATCTCAGATTTGCCTTTTGTTTTCTGTGCTGCTGTCACTGCCACAATTTTTGTTCTCAGCTTCTCTCCTGGATTTACTTTCATAATCTTGTAAATTTACACTTACTCCTTGAAATGGAATTTGAGTCATTCCTCCTGTATCATTAGTTGCTCTGCCCTCAGTGCTTTCTTTTTTTTTTCTTTTCAAAGTCTGCCTCAGTGCTTTCTTTATCATTTCTTATGTTCTCGTCTTTATTGTGTCTCCCCCAGCAGACAGAGTCCTTGGGAGGAGGGCTTGCACCTGACTCATTTTTGTGTGATTGGCTGCATTGCTCCATGAGTGTTTAGTTTACTCATGGGCCAGGCTAGCACCCAGCTGATCATCAACCAAGACCCAGCTGGAGGGGCTCAGCTGGGGCTCAGGGCCGGATGTTCCCATCAGCTTCCTACTTCCCTGCTTTTAGGTTTTGCGGCCTTTTTTGCTGCGCCGAGTGAAGGTGGACGTTGAGAAGCAGATGCCTAAGAAGTATGAGCATGTCATTCGCTGCCGACTGTCCAAGCGCCAGCGCTGTCTCTATGATGACTTCATGGCCCAGACCACGTAAGGGAGGGTCAAGGGTGGGCCTGGCTCTAGGGCAGAGCAGAGGTCAGGGTCAGGATGCCCCACTTAACTTTATTCTCTCCCAGAACCAAGGAGACACTGGCCACCGGCCATTTCATGAGTGTCATCAACATTTTGATGCAGCTGCGCAAGGTGTGCAATCATCCCAACCTGTTTGATCCTCGACCTGTTACCTCCCCGTTCATCACCCCAGGCATCTGCCTCAGCACCGCCTCCCTGGTGCTTGGGGCCACTGACGTTCATCCCCTCCAGGTGAGCAGCTGTCTCCAAGGTTGTGGGCCTCCCCACCCCTGCACTTCTCTCTAGGCTAGAGGCTGACCTTTTGCATCCCAACTTCATCATCTCAGCATTGTACCCCTAGTTTCATTGTTTTTTAGCCGAGTGACTTTGGGCAAGTATGTTTGTGAGAATTGTGTTAATATTTTTGGAAGTGCCAGGCATGTTAATAATACTTGTTATTTTGTTTTCTTATTCCTTCCCTCTTTTGGTCACCTCCCTCCAGATTTTTGTTTTTATTGTGGTGAAATGCACATAACAAATGTTACTATTTTAACCATTTTAAGTGTATGGTTCAGTGGCTTTATGTACACTCACATTATTATACAACCATTGCCACCATCCATCTTCAGAACTTTTCTCATCTTTCCAAACTGAAACTCTGTACCTATCACTCCCCATTCTCCCTCTCCCCCAAGCCCTGGACAGCCACCATTCTACTTTCTGTCTCTGTAAATTTGAGTACTCTAGGGACATCTTGTAAATGGAATCAGACAGTATTTGTCCTTTTTCATTTAGCATAATGTCCTCGAGGTTTATCATGTTTGTAGCGTGCATCAGAATTTCCACTTTTAAGGTTGAGTAATGTTCATGTATCTATACACACACAAACATACATACATATCACAGTTTGTTTATTCATCCACCTGCGGTCACTTGGCTATTGTGAATAATGCTGTGAATATAGGTTTACAAATAACTGTCCAAGTCCCTGCTTTCAGCTCTCTTCTGGGTGTATAGTCGCTCTGCCTAACGATGGGGATATTTTTGAGAAGTGTATCTTTAGGTGATTTCATTGTCGTATGCACATCACAGGGCACACGTACACACACCTAGATGGTCCAGCCTCCTACACACCTAGGCTGTGTGTGTTTGAAGCCTGCACAGCATAATGGACTGACTACTGTAGGCAAGTGTGACTCAATAAGTATTTGTGTGTCTAAACATACCTAAAGACAGAACAGTAAAAATATGGTGCAGAAGATAAAAACGTTCCACCTGCATGGGGCACGTGCTAGGAATGGGGCTGTCAGTGCTGGAAGTTGTTCTGGATGAGTTGGTGAGTGAGGGACTGTGACAGCCCAGGACATGGCCGTACACTACTGTAGGCTTTATAAACATTGCACACTTAGGCTACACTACATTTATAAGACAACACGAGATTAAATGAAGCACAAGAAAAACTGATAAAATCAAGAGACGCAGTAAACACGAGATGTATGAGACTGCTGCCAGCATAACACGGCATACTGTACTGTTTACAGCAAACTTTTTAATAAGTAAAAAGAACGCTCTAAAATGATGAAAAAGTATAGTATAGCAAATACATAAACCAGTAACATAGTTGTCTGTTTTTTGTTTGTTTTAGCTGAGCCATCCTGCCGGCAGTTCAGCTCAGGCTGGGAATCAAACCAGTAACCCTGTTGCTCAGAGCTCGCAGTCTGGAGCAAGCTCTTAACCAACTGAGCCACTCAGCCAGCCTCCTAGTCGTTTGTTGTATTATTAAATATGCACGTAGGTGCTACACTTTACGAGACTGGCAGCACAGTAGGTGTGCTCACACCATCATCACCACAGGCACGTGAGTGAGGAAGGTGTTGCAGTGATGTGAGGACAGCTACGCTGTCTCTGGGCGATAGTTGTTCAGCTCCACGATATTCTCACAGAGCTTCTGTCGGCTGCGCAGTCTATTGTTGACCAAAATGTTGTTACACAGCACATGACTTCATACCCAGAAGTGGAGTTGCCGGATCTCACGGTCCTTCTACTTTTAATTTTTTGAGGCCCTGCCATACTATTTTCCATACCGACCGCTCTATTCTGTTTCCACCAGCAGCTCTTAAGGGTTCTCCTTTCTCCACATCATTTCCAAGCCTTGTCGTTTTCCTATATTTTGGATGCTCTCTATCTTAATTGTTGTGAGGTGATATTAGTACCTCACTGTGGTTTTGGTTTGTATTTCCTTGATGATTAGTGACATTGAGCATATTTTCATGTGCTTGTTGTATATTTCCTTTGGAGAAATGTCTATTAAAGACTTTTGTGGGGTTTTTTTTTGTGGATTTTTTAATTGGGGGGTTTGTGTTTTTGTTGTTGAGTTGTAGGAGTTCTTTATATGTTCTGACTGTAACCCCTTACCAGGTACATGATTTGCGAATACTTAGTGCCGTTCTGTGGGTTCCCTTTTCATTCTGCTAATGATGTCTTTTGCTGCAGTCCAGTTTACCAGTTTTTTTTGTTGCCTGTGTTTTGGTGTCTGAGAAATTATTGTCACATTTGCCTCTTTGACACCGTGCTTTCTGTTCCTTCTTGTGCCAGCGGATAGACATGGGCCGTTTCGATCTCATTGGCCTGGAGGGTCGAGTCTCTAGATACGAGGCTGACACGTTTCTACCCCGGCATCGCCTGTCCCGCCGGGTACTGCTAGAGGTGGCTACTGCTCCTGACCCCCCACCCCGGCCCAAGCCAGTCAAAATGAAGGTCAACAGGTACCTGGGCCGAGGACTAAGGGAATGGATTCCTAGGAAAAGTGGCTACAGCTGGGGTGGAGGGGGGGCGGGGCGGGGACAGGGATTGGGATGAAGAAGAAAGAGTTGGAGGCTAGGCTAGAAAAGAATGTTTATATGGGATGGATGCAAAATACTGCAGAGGGATTGGGGGGAAATAACTAAAAGAGGGTTCTGGGCAGGGTCGTGGTGTTTGTCATTTATTCCCCTCCCCCCGCCCCACTGCTTGGTGCTTTTTGTTTATCTTGGATTTCTTCTTTCACTTTTGGGTCTCCCCCCCCCCCATTTGCTTTTATGCTCTCTGTCTGTCTGTCTGCCTCATATTCCTTATTTCTTCCTTTTCTTAACTCCTTATCCTTCCAACCTATCTACCCCCGTGTTTTTTCCTCGTAGGATGCTGCAGCCCATGCCCAAGCAAGAAGGCCGGACAGTAGTGGTTGTGAACAGCCCACGCACTCTTCTGGGTTCTGTCCCAGTCCGACCCCCTCCAGGCCCTGAGCTCTCAGCCCAGCCCAGCCCTGGCCCAACCCCTCCAGTGCTGCCAGCACCACTGCTGGTATCAGCCTCACCAGCTGGACCCCCACCAATTCCAGCACCCCGGCCTCCTGTTCTTTTGCCCCCACCGCAGCCAAACAGTGGGCCTCTTCCCCAGGGTGAGTCGCAAGGGAGCCAGGGTGCTGGGGGTGCTTCAGGTAGATTTGTCAGATTGGGGAAAAAGCAGTAAAACTAGAGTGAGGAGTTGGATTAGAGACGGGTGTGGTGTGTGTTGGGCTGGAAGAGCGTGAGAATGGAGGCTTTTGGGAGTGGCTGAGGCTCCATTCAGGGTGCATCTGACAGATACCTGCTTTGTGTCTGCAGTGTTGCCTTCCCCCCTGGGGGTCCTGAGTGGGACCTCTCGGCCTCTCACACCAACCCTGTCCCTGAAGCCGTCCCCACCTGCCCCTGTGCGCCTGAGCCCTGCCCCACCCCCAGGCTCCTCCAGCTTACTGAAGCCCCTGACAGTGCCACCAGGCTACAACTTCCCTTCGGCGGCTGCCACCACCGCCCCTGCTCCGTCCACAGCAGTCCCAGCTCCTGCCCCGCAGCGCCTCATCCTGTCTCCTGATATGCAGGCTCGCCTGCCCTGTAAGTGGCCAGGGCTCTGGAGGGGGCAGCGCCTGAGGTGGGAGGAAGGCACCTGTGCTCAGGCACTAGGGACGAGAAGCTCAAGAGTACAAGAGGTCATGTATGTTAGGTATTGTGCCAGGTATTGTGCCAGACATGGGTGATTCATAACGCAGTCAGAGCCTCGAGTTCAGTCTAGTGGGGACACGACGCACAGATGAGTGAACAGTGGCAAGCCTGGCAGCGGAAGGGCAGTGAGGAGGGGGTGATTAGCTCAGGATGGTGCAGACTGTTAAGAGGATCAAAGGATGTTGCCAATGAGCAAGAGGGTGGGGCTGGAAGGAATAGTGCGTCGACAGCTCGCAGACCTTAGGGTAAAGGCTGAGCTTGCTGGAAGGTGCTGAACTGAGAGGAGGGGTTGGGGGACACTAACCCTCACGAGGGCCTGCGGAAGGTGGTGCGTGGAGAGCCCTGTGTGCATGAAACCCCTTTTTTGTTCGTAGCAGGCGAAGTGGTCAGCATTGGGCAGCTGGCCTCCCTGGCACAACGTCCAGTGGCTAGTGCCGGGGGCAGCAAACCCTTGACCTTCCAAATCCAGGGCAACAAGCTGACTCTGACTGGTGCCCAGGTGCGCCAGCTTGCTGTGGGGCAGCCCCGCCCGCTGCAAAGTAGGTAAAACCCACCCCCTGTCCTGTCTTTTTCCTCTTCTTCCGTGTCCTCTTGTTTTTGTGTCTCTTTGCAGATATCAACCTGTTTCTGTGCCCAGCTTTCGGCGGGTGGGGCCAGGGGCGTGTTTGGTGGGAGGTGCTGACAGATCAGGCTGAGGTCACCCAGAGCAGTTCTCTCCTCCTCCGTCTTTTTCCCTCTCCTCTTAGACCTTGCCTCTGCCTTCTTCCTGTTCATAGCTGCTTCTCTTTCTCTCTCTTTCTCTCTCTCTCTCTCTCTCTCTCTCTCTCTCTCTCTCTCTCTCTCTCTCTCTCTCTTCCCTTCACCCAGGGAATGTGGTGCACTTGGTGTCAGCAGGGGGGCAGCACCACCTCATCAGCCAGCCTGCCCACGTGGCCCTCATCCAGGCCGTCGCCCCGACCCCTGGCCCAACCCCTGTCTCTGTGCTGCCTTCTTCGACCCCCAGCACCACCCCTGCCCCCACTGGCCTCAGCCTTCCGCTTGCTGCTAACCAGGGTGAGGCTTCCCCCTCACTCATCTCCTGCTGGCCTTGGCACTTCCAGCACGTCCTGGGCGACTGCCGCCCGTCCAGCCTTCCCAGGGCTCCTTTCCCTTGTCAGTATCTCCAGTATGTGTCTGCCACCCTGTCCTGCCCCAGACTTCTTCCATCCTTTGGGTCTCTTGTTTCTTTTCTGCCTTCCCTTCAATGTAGCTTCCTCTTGCAGTGCCACCAACAATGGTGAATAACACGGGCGTGGTGAAGATTGTGGTGAGACAGGCCCCTCGGGATGGACTGACTCCTGTTCCTCCGTTGGCCCCAGCACCCCGGCCTCCAAGCTCTGGGCTTTCAGCTGTGTTGACTCCACGCCCCACATTAACCCCTGGCCGGCTGCCCACACCTACTCTGGGTGCTGCCCGGGCTCCCATACCCACATCCACTCTCGGGAGGCCCGTTCTCAAGCTGGTCCACAGCCCTTCGCCTGAAGTCAGTGGTGAGTCCAGGTGGCTGAGGCCAGAAATTTTTGCCGTGAACAGAGATAGGATGGCCTCAGGGTCTCTTAGTCACAACAGACCCCACCATCACTCAGCAAACTGACTTGCTATGCCGGGGCTGCGCACTGGGCCATCGAGCCCTTGCCTGCTTCCAGGATATGTTTGCTGGAATCTTGCCAGGGAAGGAAATGCTAAGCTGTCAGATCCCTTGGATCTATGAGCCCATGGTGGGGGATGAAGGTTTTAGCTAAAGCTAGGGGTAAGGGAAGAGGCAGGGCAGGGTAACGGGAGGAGGAAGGAAAGAGCCGCGGATAACTCCTCCTCTCTCCACAGCTTCAGCGCCCGGAGCTGCTCCCTTGAGCATGTCCTCCTCTCTCCCGGTGCCGTCCTCACTCCCTGGGCCAGCCTCTTCTTCAGCACCAGTTCCCAACTCCTCTCCCCTTGCTAGTCCTGTGTCCTCCACAGTCTCGGCTCCAGCATCGTCTGCACTCCCTATCTCTGTCGCCAGCACACCTGCTGCCCCCGCCTCCACTCCCCTCACCATCCCCATCTCAGCCTCCCTGCCTGTTTCGGCTTCAGGCCCAACTCTAATTGCCAGTGTGACTCCGACACTGGCACCTGTTGTCTCAGCAGCGCCGGGACCTCCCTCTTTGGCACCAGCTGGGGCTTCCCCATCAGCATCAGGCTTGACTCTCGGTTTGGCCACAGCTCCCTCCCTGTCCCCGTCTCAGGCACCTGCTCACCCTCTGTTGTTGGCTCCAGCCTCTTCACATGTTCCGGGGCTGAGCTCAGCTGCGGCCCCAGCGTGTTCACCTGTCCTGGTGCCAGCCTCCTCCCTGGCCAACTCTTGTCCGGCAGCGCCAAATCCAGCTCCAGCTCAGGCTTCCCTTCTGGCTCCAGCACCTTCTGCATCTCAGGCTCTAGCCACCTCTCTGGCTCCCATGGCGGCTCCACAGACAGCAATCCTGGCTACTCCAGCTCCTTCTCTGGCTCCTCTTCCAGTCCTGGCTCCATCACAGACTCCGGTTCCAGTTCTGGCTTCATCATCTGCTCCAGGAATTCCTTTAGCCTCAGCTTCTTCACTGGTGCCAGTCCCAACTCCTGTGTTGGCTCCATCATCAACTCAGACTATGGTACCAGCCAAGGTTCCATCACCTCTGCCAAGCCCGGCTTCTGCACAAGCACCAGCCTTGCCCCCAGCTTTAGCACCCACTCTTGGCGGCTCGTCTCCATCTCAGACCCTCTCTCTGGGAACAGGGAACCCCCACGGGCTCTTTCCAGCTCAGACATTGTCACTGACTCCTGCATCACCCCTGGTACCAACTCCAGCCCAGACGCTGTCTCTGGCACCAGTACCACCACTGGGTCCAACTCAGACGCTGTCTCTGGCACCAGTACCACCACTGGGTCCAACTCAGACGCTTTCTCTGGCTCCAGCACCCCCTCTGGCTCCTGCTCCGATGGGCCCGAGCCCAGCTCACAGTTTGACTTTGGCTCCGGTGTCGTCATCTGCTTCACTCCTGGCCCCAGCTTCAGTGCAAACACTGACCTTGAGCCCAGCCCCATTTCCAGTGCCCACCTTGGGCCCAGCCGCAGCACAGACTCTGACGCTGGCCCCAGCCTCGGCACAGGCCCCAGCTTCTCAGGCATCCTCCCTCGTGGTTTCTACGTCTGGCGCTGCTTCCTTGCCCGTCACCATGGTATCCCGGCTGCCTGTTTCCAAGGATGAGCCTGAGACACTGACGTTGCGCTCTGGTCCCCCCAGCCCCACCGCTACCTCGTTCAGTGGTTCCAGGCCTCGGCGCCAGCCCCCACCACCACCTCGTTCCCCTTTCTATCTGGTAAGTTTTACTCCTCGAAGGAGAGGGAGTGGGGAGTTGAGTTTCTTGGGAGTGTTGAAACAGAATAATGTCACTTTTATCTTGGGAAATGACAAAGCCTAGGTTTTTGGACCTGATACATGAGGGCCATTGGACAAGTCTGGGCCTGTACCCTTATTTGTAAATGGGGATAACAAATCGTGTTCTGCTTTCCTCAGGGTGATGAGGGACCTAACGTGTTTTAAACTATTGATCACTGATGTGTTCAGGGCCTTCCTGTTACTGTGGGTCTCTGTATTTTGCTTGCTTTTTTGAGTTAGTGTTGGTATCTCATTGCCTCATTTTATAGATGAAGGAACTCACCCATTAAATGATGTTACAAAGGTCACACAACTTGTGAGAACAGGGATGTTCTGACTCCATTGCTTTCTCCTCCTCCCCACAAGAGGCAGTACTCAGAGAGGAACTCTTGCTTTTATATACTTTTCTCAGTTGCGAAAACTGTTACCATCATCAAGTATTTGAACTTCTAAGGGAGGGACAACATCATGGAATGTGGTTCCCTAACGATCATGAGCTCATGACTTTGATGTTCATCCATGTAGTTCTTTATCTCCATGGTGATTCAGTGGGCAGTAAAAAGAACTCTCTTCCCTGTCCCTTCACTAGCTTTCTGCTAGCCTTTTTTTTTTTTTGTATGTATCTGCATAGTTCCATATATGTTGGGTTACATTAAACTTAAAACTCAGATTCAAGTAAATAATCCAGGAACTAATTAGCAGAACCATCTAGGGAGGCCTTGGAGGCCTCTTGTCTTTTCCTCACTGCTGCAGAGCTGCCTCTTACTTGGTGCCTTAGCCTTAGCCTCCCTCCTCGCTCAGTGTCACTGGCTCCACCTCTTGTCTCTTTCTGATGGTGCCAGGTGGGTCTGGCTTGTTGGAAGTAGAAGAGAGCCCAGCTCCTAGCCCAAGGTTTTAGTCCATGGTCTGCTACACTCTGGTGGCTCTGAAGTAGGTAGCAGCTTCTTGGCATTTTGTTTTCTTTAAACAGTTTGAGATCCAAATCACATACTGTACAGTTAACCATTTGAAGTACACAATTGAGTAGCTTTTAGTATGTTCACAGAGTCGTGTGATCGTTAGTAGTCATACTTGAGAGCATTTTCATGGCCCCAGCAAAAACCCTTCAGCCTTAGCTGTCATCCCTTGACCCCCTTCATCCCCCAGCTTTAGGCAACTGCTTATCGACTTTTTTTCCTTATAGATTTGCCTATGGAGTCATGTAATATGTGGTCTTTTGTGACTGACTTCTTTCATTTAGCTGAATGTTTCTGAAGTTCATTTGTGTTACAGCACATACCACTTTATCATTATAGCTCATATTGATATTGACATGCCACATTTTATTTGTCTATTCATCAGTTGATAGGGACAGTTGGATTATTTCTACTTGTTGGCTGTTACGAATAATGCAGCTATGAATGTAAGATTCTGCGTCTTTTCATAATGCTTTCAGTGATATTGGATATATACCTCGGAATGGAATTGCTGAGTGTCAGGGTAACTGTTTAATTGTTGGAGGAACTGCTGAGCTGTTTCCCGAAAGGGCTGCACTGTTTCACATCCCCATCAGCAGCCTTTAGGGGTTCCAGGATCTGCATCTCTGCCATCGCTTGTTCCTTGTCTTTCTCATTATAGCCATTCTAGTGGATGTGAAGTGGTACCTTATTTTGATTGGCATTTTCTTGATGGCCAATGATGTTGAGCGTCTTTTCAGTGGTCTTTGGCCATTGGTGTGTCTTTGAAGAGATGTCTCCAAATTCTTTGCCCTTTTTAATGGGGTTATTTGACTTATTATGGAGGTGTAAGAGTTCATATATTCAGGACACAAGTTCCTTTTCAGATACGTGGTTCCATCAAATTTTTCCTCCTCTGCTACCACTTTTTGAGTTCTGGCTTGCGTTGATTTTTCCCTCTGCTAGGGTGCTTTCCCTTCTCGCCTAGCTCACGAGCCAAGAGTCAAGCCTAAGGTAGCAGTCAAGAAGGGAGATTTGGGACACTGCTTTTTGGCAGGACCATCTCCTGGGGACTATATTGTTTGTTCATTCTGTTAACATATTTATCAAGAGCCGCCTTTGTGCCAGATAACTGAGCTAGATACTGAGTGGTTATAGTGAACAAGATCAGATACAGTTCATGTTAAGGGGTTAGACTTTTGTGGGTAGAAGATTTGAATCAAAGTATATTACACAGATGTAAAACTACAAGTGTGCTAAATGCTAAAAAAGAAAAAGAAAAAAGGTTTAATAGTGAAACTGGAAACAGATGGGAAAGGATTGGGTCAAAGACAAATTTCCTGTCTGCCAGGGCACGCCCCCTTTCCCTCTCAGGTGATGCTACCTAGTAGAGGTCTGCTTACTGCCCCATCCCATCTCATTCCAGTCTGGGCCTTGGCAGAAAACTGCTGGGGATTTGATTAGCCCCTCTGTATCCTGGTCAGTGATTTGAGGAAGGCTTTTACTAATAATTTTGGGGATCTACTGCAAGAAGATAAATAAACTTGGATGTTCTGGAGTTAAGTGTTATAGGGAGAGTCCCCTGGCTCATTCGTTCTGTCAGCTTATTGGCTGTGTGGATCTTCATTTTGAACATTCAGGCATTCTGCTTTGGTACTGTACAGGAAGATCAGTTTTTTTCTTGCAGAGAGGTTATTTCACTTAACATTGTGAAGGGAGTAACTCCCATTATTGACGACTTGGAAAACTACTAAAAGCATAGTGTGTTTTTTATTTTATTTTATTTTTTTTTAGCTGAGCCATCCTGCCACCTGTTGGCTGCTCAGCGGCAGTTCAGCTTAGGCTGGGAATCGAACCGCTGTTGCTCAGAGCTCAAACTCTTTATTTTTTTATTTTTTTAAAGATTTTATTGGAGAATTGGGGGAGAGGAACAGCGCTGGGGAATCAGGAGAAGGGGAACAGACAAGTTGCTGTCTTTTTGTTCTTCAGTCTAGTTGTGGAGGACGTCACTTCACTGGCCCATGTTGGTATTATCATTGCGCTCTTCCCGGGTGAGGCAGATCAGTCGCCGGCCTCTGGACGGCCGCTCACGGTGGCTTTTGGCAGCTCACACCAGCTGCCGGGCTGCTCACGTTGGCTGCCGGGCCACACACAGTAGCTTATGGCAGCCCACTGCAGCAGGGGCTGCAGCCTATGCCGTCGCCGGCAACTCACGGCAGCCCAGCTCCAGGTCGAGCTGTTGTTCACCATCTTAGCTGTAGAGGGCAGTGTCACTGGCCCTCATGTGGGATCTGAACCAGGGCCCTGCTGCTCAGAGCTGGCGTCCCAAGCCAGCTCTTAACCAACGTGCCACTTGGCCAGCCCTCAGAGCTCAAACTCTTGAGCAAGCTCTTAACCAGCTGAGCCACTCAGCTGGCCCCATAGTGTGTTTTTGAATCCTATGGTTTCCATAGATTATGTTTAATTCTAGGAGGAACTGTCAGGTTTTCTATGAGGACGCTGATTACCTTTTTCTGTTTTTTTATATTTTTTATCTTGTTTCTCTCATCTCTAGGACTCTCTAGAGGAAAAGCGGAAGCGACAGCGGTCTGAACGCCTGGAACGCATTTTCCAGCTCAGTGAGGCTCATGGGGCCCTGGCTCCTGTGTATGGGACCGAAGTCCTGGATTTCTGTACCCTGCCCCAACCTGTGGCCAGCCCTGTTGGCCCTCGCTCTCCACGCCCCAGCCACCCCACCTTTTGGACTTATACTGAGGCTGCCTGCCGGGCTGTCCTGTTTCCCCAGCAACGACTAGACCAGCTGTCTGAGATCATTGAGAGGTTGGCAGGGCTGAATGCGAATGGGCACAGGGGCTTGGGGCCTCCGAGTGGACGTAATGCTTAGGGCTGGTGAAGGTGCTGACTTCCAGGGCCTTTCGGAGTTCCATCTTTTGGACCGCGTGCCTTCTCCCTCTTGCAGGTTCATTTTCGTCATGCCTCCTGTGGAGGCACCTGCCCCTTCCCTGCATGCCTGCCACCCGCCTCCTTGGCTTGCCCCGCGTCAGGCAGCCTTCCAGGAGCAGCTGGCCTGTGAGCTCTGGCCCCAGGCGCGTCCCTTGCACCGTATCGTGTGTAACATGCGCACCCAGTTCCCTGACCTGAGGCTCATCCAGTATGACTGCGGTGAGTACACTGGCAAGGGAGGGTCCCGGACTTCTTTCCTGTCTGAAAATCCAGATTGTTGTATCAGAGATGCTGCCCATACAGCCTCCGTGGGTTGCATTAAACGAAACAAGTTTTTAGCTTATGGGCAAGGTGGTGGAGAATTATAGGCCTTACGACGGATTCTTGGCGTTCATGAGTTTGACTTTGATTAAAGTTGAAAATGTGTGCTAACTCATTCATTCATTTAGTGATTATTTTGTAAACATTTTGCTAATCATTTGGGATACGATGGCAAACGAGATAGCGCAATACGGAGTTTTCAGATTTACGGGTGAAGGTGTGGTGGTACGAGACTGCACAGCAAGTAGTTTTGTTTTGGAAAAGACAAGCATCCTTATCTTTGGTTTAGAATCCTGCTGGTTAGAATGCATTTGGCTGCAAGTAACAGAAACCAACCAAAGTGACGTAAACCCCAAGGACATTTTCTGTTTACTGAAGGAGAAAGTCGGGGAACAGCGGTGTCTTATGCACCCAAGACCTCCCGGCCTTTCTGTCTCACTTTATACCATCCATAGCTGCTGTCTTTGTATTCTCATACTTATTTCTTCATGATCTTAACATGGCTGCCACAACTCCAGGGAGCACACGAAATGCTCTAAGCAGGAACCAAGGGCTTGACAACATATTCCCAGCAGGTCGTCTTTTCTGGGAAAGAAAGTGCCTCCCTACCCAGTTGACTTTGCTTCACAGCTCATTGGCTCAAACTGGGCCACATGCCCCTCCCTAGAGCAGTCACCAATCCAGGGAAGTAGCAGAGGAACTCTGGCTAATTATGTAAACCAATTGCAATGCACCTTCTCGGGCTGGGTTGGAGCTTCCTTCCTGGGACCAAGGGGTCTTTGCTGGGTGTCCACAGCATAATCAGGTTCTGTTAACCAGCACTGTCTTTTGCACAATAGTGAATATTTTCAGCCACAGCCCTGCACTGATGGAGTTAAAGTAACATGGTTTTGGAGATTTCCTAAATGCCTTAGAATATAAGAAAGTCAGCAGGATTTTTATTAATATGTGTTCAATACATAGTTTAGTAAAAAAATAATAACTTTTGAAATCATTCAGAGTCGATCCATTGCAAGTCTTTGTTCACAGTGTTTTGTACTGACTTACCAAACACGTTACAGGAGTTAGTTTTGTTTGATGGGTGATCGAACTAGATAACTTGAGCTCCTGCCTCCCTGGCTCTGACCTCAGTCACCTTCAGTCCCTGTCTAGAGGCCATGACTTCAGAGGGCTTCTTGTTTATGTCTATCCGGCAACTTTCTTGTGCATTTCAGCTGCTATAACTCAGTGTAGTACTTAAAAGTCTCGTGCTCAGACACCATTGAGGATCCCTTTTTCCCCTGAGGGTCTAGATTACCCTCCCCCTAGTTAGACTCAGAGAAGTTAGATCCAAGAGACTCAGAGAAGTTAGATCCAAGACAGGAGCAGACTGAAGAGGGAAAGGATCCCTGAAGGGGAGAGAATATACAAAGTCAAATATTTTTGACACTCTAGGCTAATTGAAATCCTGGCCTAAAACTGTGATTGTCTTTCGACGGCCACCTCCAGGACTGTGTCCTCCCCATCCCAGCTTGCAGCTAGCTCCCTGTCCCCCTTTCCTGTCTCTGCAGGAAAGTTGCAGACGTTAGCAGTGCTGTTGCGCCAGCTCAAGGCGGAGGGCCACCGGGTGCTCATATTCACCCAGATGACCCGGATGCTGGATGTGCTGGAGCAGTTTCTCACCTACCACGGCCACCTCTACCTGCGTCTGGATGGCTCCACGAGAGTTGAACAGAGACAGGTAATCCCAGCATCTGCAGCCCTTAGGGGCTTACCTCAGCTGTCTCCTTTTTTTCAGGCCTTGGGGTCCCAGTAGGGGCCCCACTAAGCCTTGGGTCTATTTCCGGGACTATCTCCCAATGCTGTTTTTTTTTTTTTTTCCTTTCTCTCTAGGCTTTGATGGAACGATTCAATGCAGACAAACGCATATTCTGCTTTATCCTTTCAACTCGGAGTGGGGGTGTGGGCGTGAACCTGACAGGAGCAGACACGGTTGTTTTCTATGACAGCGACTGGAACCCCACCATGGATGCTCAGGCCCAGGACCGCTGTCACCGGATTGGTCAGACCCGAGATGTTCACATCTACAGGTACTGCCTGGTCTCCCCTCACCTTGCTTCCCCTTTGCCGTTAGGGTTTTACTGATGTGTTTGGCTGTTTACACATGGCTTTCATCACCCCTTAGGCTTATCAGTGAACGGACAGTGGAGGAGAACATTCTGAAAAAGGCAAATCAGAAGAGGATGCTGGGGGACATGGCCATAGAGGGAGGCAACTTTACCACGGCCTATTTTAAACAGGTACTGATAGCTTCCGGCCTGTTCAGGAGACAACTGCTCTGCCTGTAGGAGTTACTCTTGCTTTTTAAGAGGATGCTCTGGCCTCTACAAACTGCCTCTTCAACTCGTGGTGCCTCTGGGGCTTCTAAGAGCCACCAGCCTGCTAGCTGGAGATGTGGGGCCAGCATTGCATTGGCTCTGACATTCCTTTCTCTGTTTTCTCCATAGCAGACCATCCGAGAGCTATTTGAGATGCCCTTAGAGGAGCCATCAGGCTCTTCTGTGCCCTCGGCCCCTGAAGAGGAGGAAGAGACCGTGGCCAGCAAGCAGACTCACATCCTGGAGCAGGTGACAAGAGCACAGGGCCCATGGGTACAGCTTGTTGTCGCTCAGTCTGCTGAGGTTGTCCAGGAGGAAAGAACTGTTTTTGCTACTTCCCAGGTTACAGTGGCCTTAGGTAGTGTGATGGTGGATTGCTTCTTGGTTCACTTGGTTTCATAGGAAAAAGACAGGATTTGAAGTGTTTAGTTCTAGGCTTGAATTCCAATAGTGCTTTTTAATAATTGCGTTTGTTAAGCCAGTCTGTTTAGTCTGCTGAGCCTTCCTTTCCCCATTGTTTGTTGTTGTTGTTGTTATTTATTTTTAAAGAATTTTTGGCAGGCGGTCACATGGGCAGAATCCAGGTTGGGCGCAGGGGGTGGTCACATGGGCAGAATATAGGTGGCACAAAGAGCAGTCACGTGGACAGAATCCAGGTGGGGCGCAGTGGGTGGTCACGTGGGCAGACTCCAAGTGGTGGCACTTGTGCAGGCTGAATCCACTTTTACGTTTCTTCTCCAGACCCCTAAACCCTCTCAGGCACCCTTGGCCCGCCTCTTGGGTGGTGCTTTGGTGGTGGAACTTCAGGTCGAGGTTCTCAGAGCCCCTGAAAGTTAGTGAAACTTCCGCCCAGCAGGACAGAGAGGCTGTGTCTGAGGTCCTGGTACCTGCCCTGCTAGCACATCCAGCCCACGCCTGCAGTCTTGCACTGCTCCGCTGGGCTTAGAGGTGCAGGAGGTTCCTCCACTCACTGCCCCAAACTCTGAGATCAGAGGACCTACAGTGTGTGGGAGAGGGGTCCTCACTGTCAGCCCTGATTCACTTCTTTCGTGGAATTCTGACAATTGGGAATCATTTTTAAAAATTGAGGTAAAATTCACATGCCGTAAAACATTTTAAAATGAACAATTCAGTGGTATTTAGTCATTCACAGAGTTGTGTGACCATCATCACTGTCTACTTCCAAAACACTGTCATCACCCTAAAAAGAAACCCCATCCTTATGAGCAGTCACTCCCCACTCCCCCCTCACCCCAGCTCCCAGAAACCAATAACCGACTTTGTTCCTATGGATTTGCCTGTTCTGGACACTTCATATAAACAGAATCATGAAAAAAAAAATTTATTGGGGATTATTGGGGAGCAGTGTGTTTCTCCAGGACCCATCAGCTCCAAGTCATGTAGTTGTTTCAGTGTAGTTGTGGGGGGCACAACTCAGTGGCCCATGTGGGAATCCAACTGGCAACCTTGGTGTTATGAGCACTGTGCTCTAACCACTTGAGCTAACCACCGGCTGCCCCTCCTTTCCACTGTTTTGAATGCTAATGAGAAGGAAGTGACTGAGAGTTAAATGGCATAGTGGGTTAAGAAGTGCTTTGGACCCTTGTTTTCCAAACACTGATGCACAATAGAATCACCTGGAAAGTTTTTAAAGCGATGGATTCCTGGGCTACATCCCAGAATCTACTAGATCATTTCTGGAGGTGAGGTCTGGGCATTTGTATTTTTGTGTTTCTTCAAAGCTCTTCAGAAATAGACAGATGTTTAGGAACCACAGGTGTGGAGAAAGTGTCGTGGATGGAGATGCTTTTCCCACCAGGTGCCCTCACCCCACCGCTGAGCCTGTGGGCTCCTCAGTGACTCTGATGTGAAGAGTAGCTGTGACCAGTCTGTTGTCATGAGGCAGCTCAGTGCAAAGAAGAATTAGGGATTTGTTGTATTCAAAACTTTCTGCTTTTTAAGAAGGTCTAAGGTTGACTCAAACGGGAGACTGAGAGGTGTCTACAGCAGTTAGTGACTTTGTTCCTGGTGGGGTGCTGGTCAAGCCCATTCCATCCCCTGGGGACACTGCATTGCTTTGGCAACTTCAGGGGCCCAGAAGAGAGTTGAGTTCTGTTATAAACCTGGTTTGGTATAAACTGTGGTTTTTAAATCTGGGCTATGACCAAGACAATACCTGATTTATTCCAGAATCATCTGTGTAGAGTGAAGAACCAGTTTAGTCCAGTCCTTATAATGATATCTTTACAGCACTTCATAAATTATAAACATACAGTATGTTTAAATACAGAAACTTCATCAGGGTAGACAGGAAAAGTGCTGTGACCTCATTTTAGATGAGGAAACTGCTGCTTAAAAATTAATTGACTTGGGCCGGCCGAGTGGCACGTTGGTTAAGAGCTGGCTTGGGGCCGGCCGAGTGGCGTGTTGGTTAAGAACTGGCTTGGGACGCCAGAGGGCCCCCCCGTTCGGATCCTACATATGAGGGCCAGTGACACTGCCCTCTACAGCTAAGATGCTGAACAACAACAGCTCAACCTGGAGCTGGGCTGCGGTGAGTTGCCGGCGATGGCGTAGGCTGCAGCCCCTGCTGCAGTGGGTTGCCATGGGCTACCATGTGTAGCCAGCAGCCAGCGTGAGCAGCTAGCAGCCGTTGTGAGCGGCCATCCAGAAGCCGGCGACTGATCTGCCTCTCCCGGAAAGAGCACAATGATGGTGCCAACTTGGGCCAGTGAAGCAACGTCCTCCACAACTAGACTGAAGAACAAAAGGACAGCAACTTGTCTGTTCCCCTTCTCTCAATTCCCCAATAAAAATCTTAAAAAAAAAGAAAAAATTAACTGACTTGTCCATGAAAAAAGACAAGGACAGAACCAGGCCCGAGACCCAGGGTTTTTGACTCCTAGCCCGGTACAGTTTTTTTGTTGTTGTATTTTTTGTTTTGATGTAAACTTGGCCTCAAATTTTTGCCAGTATCAAATCACAGGATGTAAAGTTTGTTAATTCTCCTGGGTTTTCTCACATTCTCGCAGGCATTGTGTCGTGCAGAGGATGAAGAGGACATCCGTGCAGCCACCCAGGCCAAGGCCGAACAGGTAGCTGAGCTTGCAGAATTCAACGAGAACGAAGGGTTTCCTGCTGGTGAGGGTGAGGAGGCCGGCCGGCCTGGGGCCGAGGATGAAGAGATGTCCCGGGCTGAGCAGGAAATTGCAGCCCTTGTGGAGCAGGTCAGTGTTGGCCTCAGCAGCTGTCAGCGTCACCCACTATAACGCCTGTGTCTGGACACTGGGATAGAAAGACGCGGGGGGTGGGCTCTGGACGCACTGGGTTCATCACTGCTTCTCTCACAGCTGACCCCTATTGAGCGCTATGCTATGAAATTCCTGGAAGCCTCACTGGAGGAGGTGAGCCGAGAGGAGCTCAAGCAGGCAGAGGTGAGTAGTTCTGGGGGTGGGAAGTTGCTGCTGTCTGCCACTCAGTGCCCCGCTTGCTGCTCTGACCACCCGTGGGCTCTTGATGTAGGAGCAGGTGGAGGCTGCCCGCAAGGACCTGGACCAAGCCAAGGAGGAGGTGTTCCGCCTGCCCCAGGAGGAGGAAGAGGGGCCCAGGGCTGGAGACGAGATTTCCTGCGGGCCTGGGGGCGGCAGCCACCGGCGCAGTAAGAAGGTTAAGGGCCCTGAGAGGCCAGGGACGCGCGTCAGTGAGCGTCTTCGTGGAGCCCGGGCTGAGACTCAAGGGACAAACTATACTCCCATGTCATCCACCCATCAAACCCGCGGCACCTCCACGCCCCCCCGCTGCAGCCCTGCCAGGGAGCGCATTCCCAGGCCAGCACCCAGGCCACGACCCACCCCTGTCTCAACCCCTGCTGTAATCCCCGTCCCAATCCTTGCCCCGACCCCCATTTCAGCCCCAAACCCAGTCACCATGCTTCCTGTCCATATCTTGCCTGCTCCCCCACTTCCTCCACAGATGCCCCCCTCCTGTTCCTCTGCCTGCACACCCCCTCCTGCCTGCACACCCCCACGAGCTCACACCCCACCTCCAGCCCAGACCTCCCTCTTAACTCCCACCTCCCCGCTTTTGCTTGGTCTCCCTTCCGTGCCCGTCTTCCCCGCAGTCACCAACCTGCCCTTGGCCTTGGGACCTGAGGCGGAGCCGTGTGCCCAACCGTTGGCATCTGCCGAGTCCCTGGGGCTGGTTGAGACCAGCTCCAAGACTTCCTCGCTTACTCTCGTGCCCCCTAAGGATCTGTTGCCCATGGCTGTTGAGATCCTGCCTGCGTCAGAGAAGAGCCTTTCTCTGGACCATTCGGCACCCAGCCCGATCCTGGAGGCTGGCAGCTTCCCTAGTGGTCCAGAGCAGGAGCTTCCGGAGCCTGCTGAGGGGACCATCCTCACAGTGCTGCCTGGTGGGGAGGAGTTGCCCCCACACCTGAGTGAGAACAGTGGTCTGGAGCCCCCACTCTCCGCCGCAGCTGATGAGCCATTGGAGGCCGACAAGAACTCGGAGGAGCTAGTGGAGGCTCAGACCCCCACCTGTAGCCCAGAGAAACCACAGGATCTTGTTCCAGCTGAGGTCATAGCTTCATCAACTTCATCTTCAGCCACCTCCTCCCCTGAGGGTCCTTCACCAGCCCGGCCCCCTCGGCGGCGTACCAGTGCCGATGTAGAGATTCGGGGTCAGGGGGCTGGGCGGCCGGGGCAGCCTCCAGGCCCCAAAGTGCTTCGCAAGCTGCCAGGACGGCTTGTGACTGTGGTAGAGGAAAAGGAACTAGTGAGGCGGCGGCGACAGCAGCGGGGGACCGCAAGTACTCTAGGACCTGGGGCCTCCGAGACAGGGGCCTGCCCAGGAAGCCCATCTGCCCACAGCACGTCAGGGCCAGAATCCTCACCTCCCTCCGCGGGGCTCTGTGAAGCTGCTCCTCACTTCACACTGCCCTCCTCGACCCAGCAGCCCTTCATAGCTCGCCGTCACATTGAGCTGGGGGTGCCTAGAGAGGGCAGCCCAGAGAATGGAGAAGGGATGCTGCCTGCCCTCACCCCTCCTGCTGTGAAACGTCGGAGGGGGAGGCCCCCCAAGAAGAACAGGTCTCCCGCAGAGGCTGGGCAAAGGGTGGATGAGGCACCTTCATTCTCTAAGGGACACAACAACAAGCCCGACGCAGGCACGGAGGTGGAGACCCTGATTGTTGCCGAGCCTGTCCTGGGCCCCCTGCTTAGTCCAGGGCCCCAGCCTCTCGGACCCCAGCCAGTTCATAGACCTGAGTCCATCATCCTCTCACCTGTGGAGAAGCGGAGGCGTGGGCGGCCCCCGAAGGCCCGAGATCTGCCCATTCCTGGGACCATGTCCTCTCCAGGGGACGGCAACTTAGACAGCCGGACACAGCCACTCCCGCTGCCACCACCCCTACCACTCCTAGCCTGTCCCACTGCTACTGTCGCCAACACTGTCACCACTCTCACCATTTCAACGTCCCCACCCAAGCGGAAGCGGGGCCGACCTCCCAAGAACCCACCATCTCCTCGGCCCAGCCCGCTGCCCGTCTTGGACCGTGACATCTCTTCTGTCCTCGAGAGCTGTGGCTTGGGGAGGCGGCGGCAGCCCCAGGGCCAGGGGGACAGTGAGGGGAGCTCCTCTGATGAGGATGGAAGCCGCCCCCTCACCCGCCTGGCCCGCCTGCGCCTCGAAGCTGAGGGGCTGCGGGGCCGGAAGGGCGAAGGGTCCATGGTGGTGGCCGTCATTCAGGATGACCTGGACTTAGCGGATGGTGGGCCAGGCAGCTTAGAATTGACACCTCCCTTGGTTTCATTGGCTCCAAAACTGCGCTCGACCCGGCTGCGTCCAGGGTCTCTAGTCCCCCCACTAGAGACTGAGAAGGTGCCTCGCAAACGGGCGGGGGTCCCAGTCGGCAGGTGTCCGGGGCCAATAAAGCGGGGCCGTCTGCAGTCCCCCAGTCCCTTAGGGCCTGAGGGGTCAGTAGAAGAGTCTGAGGCTGAAGCCTCAGGTGAGGAGGAAGGGGACGGGACCCCATGCCGCCGGCCTGGCCCCCACCGGCCTGGGGCAACCAACAACCAAGGGGACCAGCGCATCCTTCGCAGCAGTGCCCCTCTCCCCCTAGCTGGCCCCACTGCTAGTCACAGAGGCCGCAAAGCCAAGACGTGAATGGGCCACCCCTCGCCCAGGCTTCCCACCATGGCCCCTCCCGTGCGTGACCAGGCCGACTCTGCTAACCACTACTTGAAGTCTTTGGAGGGGGAAAGCCTCTGGGGAGATAGGGGCCTTCTCCCTTCTTTCCACCAAAGTAGGGGGTAGGCAACTGGTTGTCATGGAAACGGGGCACTTCACATCCCCCTTCCCTTCCACCCCACATGGCTGGGCAGTGTTAAGGGTAGCAAGATGTCTGTCCCCACCCCCTTGTACTTGATTCCCCAGCTGTCTTTCACAGCCCCCCACGCTTAGGGGAAGGGAGAGGGGCTTCTCTACAATGAGGTTTTTTTTTTTTTTTTTTTTTTTTTAAGAAGAAATAATAAACTTAGTTTCTGTATGAGCATCCGTGTAAGGAGGCTTCTGATTTTCTGGTCTGGTGGAGGGTTGGGTGGGAACTTGGGCATCGTTTTTCTTCTCTTTCTTGCTCTTACCAAGACCATAGTACCTCATCTCTAACCCAGTATTTATGTATCTTTGAGGCAGAAATCTCCATCCAAGAAGAGAGAAGATTTGGTAAATCTGACCTGGCAGGGTGCCTCAGTCCCTCCAACTCAGACCTCTCTCTTCCCCTCTGTTCCCCTAGTTCCCACACTCCCTCGGCCCTCCAATGCCTTAGACTTTCCCCTGCTTTATCTCTTGCTCAGGCACGTTCACTCCTTTTCCAGAACACAGGCCTTGCTACCTGTAGTTGCTCCCATCCTTTTTCCTTTCTTGCTTTCCTCCCTCAAGCCAAACTGGTTTGAGCCAGCCACACCCCCATCTGAGGTGGGGTGCTCAGGTGGTGCTGGCCACCCAGTCCCACCCCTGGGCTTGGCTAGGAGCCCTGAGTCAGCTCCATCTCTACCCACGCCAAGTCAAACCTGAGCAGAAGCCGAAACTCCCAGTCCCTCAAGGCCTAGAGCCAGGTAAGAGCCCCCGTTCATTTCTACATTCTCTCTTGACAGCTCCCTGGACCCTCTCCCCCGACGTCTGTCTGTGTTTACCTCACCTGGGTTTTTTCCCCATACACACTTCTGCAGCTCTGTGGCATGTGTCATTCTTCTTGCTGCTTTTTCACCCTTTCTATACTTCGTTGCTTGTGTTCAGAGAAACTGCAGATGTTTCCATTTTGTCTAGGCTATAGGGGAATGGTTGGAGATAAGGTGGAGAGGTAATTTGGTGCCAGAGCTCAGAAGTCCTGAGAAATGGGGAGTTGAGAAATAATGAAGGAGGGTATCATTATGCAGGTTTCTGTGTGGGTGATGAGGTCATTCGGACGCTGAGCTAATCTGATTGTGTCATGTGGCCGGCTTTGAAATGGAAAGAGGAGGTGGCAGGAGGGAGTCAGCCTAGAGAGGAAGGCCCCAATTTGGGAAGGTGAGTTCTCTGATGGTGAATTTCCTCACTATACAGAGAGCATATATGGGTGGTTTCCCCTCCTCTCTCCCATCCCCAGACTTGTTGGCACATGAAATGGCTGCTTTGCTCGAAGTAGGGTGCGGGATATATTCTCTGTTCCCTCCTTGGTGTCAGGCAGTCGGAGGAACTCCAGGGAATTTAGGGCCCTTTGACACACAGCTTAAAATCTGACTGGGACAGTTTCAGATTCCCAGCAGCTGTTGCAATTCTGTTTTTCTCCTTCCCAGCATAGCACCTGTCTTTGGGCTTCTCCCCACTTGTCAAAACAGCAAGTAATACAGATAATACTGTGTTCACATGGCTTGTCTGTGGAGACTCCAAACCTTAGGCCAAGGACCTGAGATTTCCTCTCTTGGTCCAAGTCACTCAAGGAATTCCCCTTACAGAAAAGTGGCATTCCTGAGGGCTGTGCCCCTGGCCACTAGGACATGATCAGAGGGGTGGAGTCTGTGAGCCAGGCCTCGGCTCGGTTGGGCTTGAAAGTACCGTGACTGTCGCCCACAGGTAATGGAGGACGAGGAGAAGGCGGGTGCCATCTTGGTGAGCACCATGGACGCGGCTCCTCCAGCCCCCACCCGCTGCTGCTGGCGCCGCCTATGCTGCTTGGCGGCCACCAGCGTTATCTGTGGCTGCTCCTGCCTGGGAGTCATGGCCCTCGTGTTTGCCATCAAGGTGAGGACTGCAGTTCCTGTGGGAGCCCGGGCGGGGTGGGGCAGGGAGGCAGGAGGTACTCGGCACCTGTTGGGGCCTGGCGCTGGGCCTGGCGCCAGGAGTGAGAGCACCACTGGTCCTGCCAACCAGCGGTCCGCAGTCTGATGTAAGATTGCTGTACAAATGGAATGCAGCTCCTCAGAACTGAGGGAGCAGAAGCTCAGGGTATCTTGGGAGCCAGGGAGGGTTTATGTGTGTTATTCCATCTGTGTGACAGCAGAGGAGGTGACAGCGAAGGCATCCTGGGAAGCCACAGGAAAATAACCTCAAACAATGAGTGGTTTAGGGCCAAAGGGCATTCCAGGGGAAGCAAGTGGTGTGGACAAAGGCCTGGATGGTGAATCCGGCATGACCGGACCAGTGACGAATTGAGGGGAAGCCAGGAGACCCAGATTCCCAAGGGCCCCCCGTGAGTTCAACTTCCTCTGGAGAGGACTGGGGAGCCACTCGGGTTTTTCCGAGGAGAGCGACATGGTCAGATGTGTGTTTCTGTAAGATTCCCTGCTCAGGGCCGATATGGAGAAGAAACAGGAAGGGACAAGACTGGAGGCCGCTGACAATGATGGGAGCAGCTGGTGGGGGCCCAGAAGAAACTGCAGAGGGCTGCACCAGGTCAACAACCACCAGAAACTGCACCATGTGCCTTTAGAAAGACCACAGGCTAACATTGTGCTGGGATTTTCTCAACCCTGGTTGTCGTTTAACCATCAGAAGCTTCCTATAACCATACGAATTTCTGTGTTTTATTCGGACAAAATCATAAAAAGAATCCTTAGGGCTGGCCGAGTGGTGCGGTGGTTAAGAGCTAGCTTGGGACGCCAGAAGGCCCCGGTTCGGATCCCACATATGAGGGCCAGTGACACTGCCCTGTACAGCTAAGATGCTGAACAACAGCTCAACCTGGAGCTGGGAGGCCGTGAGTCGCCGGCGATGGCGTAGGCTGCAGCCCCTGCTGCAGTGGGTTGCTGTGGGCTACTGTGTGTAGCCAGCAGCCAGCGTGAGCGGCCAGCAGCTGCCGTGAGCAGCCGTCCAGAAGCCGGCAACTGATCTGCCTCGCCTGGGAAGAGCGCAATGATGGTGCCAGCTTGGGCCAGTGAAGCAACGTCCTCCACAACTAGACTGAAGAACAAAGGACAGCAACTTGTCTGTTCCCCTTCCCCCAATTCCCCAGCGCTGTTCCAATTCCCCAATAAAAATCTTTAAAAAATAATAATAAAGTAAAAAGAATCCTTAATGAAGATGAGGCCCCCTGGGCTAATGAGAATGAGCTGTTGTTGGGACTTGAGTAAAATACTCCCAAGATAGCTAGCTCACTGTTTCCTGCTGAAAATTCCAAGTTTGGAATGAACCTGGGATGAGTAGAAAAGGACAGGGAATAACAGGATTGAAGGGTACTTTCCCGTGTGTGATCTTAGGGGCTAACAGTGGCTACCCTGAAAAGGAGGCAGAGCAGAGAGGACAGCTTACTTGGCAGATGAGGCATGAGAATAGCAGATGGAACTGGAGGTAGAGAATTTGGGTGTGTGGTTTTCAGCTAGGACGAGGTGGAGGGTTGGAGTGGGGCAGTGGGCATGTGGAACAGAACAGGGAAGACCCTAACATGAGCCTGCCCCCACAGGCGGAAGAATGGCGCAAGGCAGGCCAGTCGGAGGAGGCCGTGCGCTGGGCGGCCCGGGCCCAGAAGTTCATCCTGGCCAGCTTTGCTGTCTGGCTTTCTGTCCTCGTCCTGGGTCCCCTGCTTCTGTGGCTGCTCTCTTACGCCATCGCCCAGGCTGAGTGACCCTGGATGGCCTCTGCTGAGTCAGCCGAGACCTGGATCCTGCAGTGCGGCAGCGCTAGGGTCCAGGGCAGTGGTCCTTCCTGGCTGCACGGACGGTCTTTCCCTCAAAGGGCGTTGAGCTCCTCTTTCTGGCCCTTTATAAAAGGAGGCGGCAGCTGAGACTGATGATGTCAGCCTGCTCTGTTCTTTCAGTGCCCACCGTTCCCTGTTCCCCCCCCCGCCCCCAACTCAACCCCTCTTAGGGGCCTCTACCCAGAGGTGGGGTGTAAGACCAGGCCTGATTGTATTAGAATTTGTTTTGTAATAAAAACCTTTTTTTAGTGGTGAAACTTCTAATTGTTCTTCCCCTGAGACCTTGGTGAGAGCCAGACGACATCTGAAGGGGGGCAGAAGTCTGTGTCCCCTCATCTAGCTGCTCCATGGGAAGGAGAGTTTATTCCCTTCTGGAAGTGTCCCTTCTTGGACAGACCCCAGCCTCTCCCTTAACATTAACAGAGACCCCGAGGCCAGAGAGTAAGAGCAGCAGCCGCAGCTACTTTATTGAGTACTTGCTGCTTCCAGGCTTTGTTCTAAATACTTTGTTTCTTAACTCCTTCAACCCTCACAGACACTCACTTTATAGTTGAGGGAACAGGCACAATTACCGAAGGTCACACAGCTAGTAAGCAGCAGCACTGGGACCAAATCCACACAGGTTGGTGCCAGAGTTGAGAGAGGAGTGAAAGGGTTAGATACAGCACCCATCACCCTGGATATGGCTATTTCAATGATTATAAGGAATTTCCATATCCTTTATCTTGGGCCTTGTGATAATGTTTTAAACATTTTTTAAGAGAGGTATGTCATACAGGAAAACATCCAAAGCAAATTTCGCAACTCAGTAACACAAAACAAACATCTGACAAAGCACCATTTGGCCGAGACATTGGGCATTGCCTGCACTCCAAAGCCCCCTTCCATCCCTCCTAATCACCAGGCCTTCCTTTCTTCCCACAAGTTACCACCATTCTGACTGCTAACAATGTACTTTTGCCTGCATTTGAACATTATATAAATGGATTCATACGTATTCTTTTTAAGTCTGGCTTCTTTAACTTAACGGTGTGAGATGAATCAATATTTGGGGTAGCTGTAGTTTTCATTACTATATAGCATTCCATTATATTAATATATTGCCATTTATCCATTTTATGTGGGTGAATTTGGGGGGTGTTTCCAGTTTGGGGATATTATGAATCATGCTTACATTTTTGTATATGTCTCTTGGAGTACCATGTGCCCTGGGAATGGAATTTTTGTCTTATTTCATAGTTCAGAGACAAGCACAGCACCTAGAGGAATTGGAGATATTGCACAGCAAAGAGAGAAGATGAAAGGGGAAGGAGAGGCCCATGAGGGTGTCTTCAGTGTTTCAAAGTGCTCCAGGAAGGAAAAGTGGAGAGAATCCATTGTTGGTCCCAGAGCTTAGAATTACAACAATGGGTAGAAGCCATATGTAGGGCAGTGGTTCTCAGCTTGGCTTCAACTATGGAACCACCTGGGGAGACTTAGAACATACTTATGCCTGGGTTTTACCTCCAGAGGTTCTGATCCAGTTGGTGTGCGATGCTACCCGGTCATCAGGATAACACATTCTAGAGAGATTTTTTTACAGACACTTTTTTTAAAGCTAATATTTGATTAATTAGTAACTACAGTTTACTAAAAGAGAATATCCCATTCCCCCAAACTGATTAAATGAAGTCTTGCTAATTTTTAACTTTATTTTGAACAAATACCTCAAATCTACAGAATAAAAGAATAGTACAAAGAACTTACGTGTACTCTTCACATAGATTTATAATTTTTAATATCCCCCCACATTTGCTTTGTATCTCTATAAATATACATATTATTGTTGCTGAGCTATTGGAGGGTAAATTGAAGGCCCTTCATTCCTAAATACTTCATGATCTATCTCCTGAGATCAAGGATATTCCCTCATGTAACTACAATACAATTATATAATTCAGAGGCGTTAACATCAATACAATATATATCTTCTAATATAGTGCCAATATTCAAATTTGCCGGTTTTCCCAATACCATCCTTTATAGCAATTTCTTTTCTGCGTTAAGGTGTGTGTGGAAACACTCATTGCATTTAGTTGTCGTATCTCTTTGATCTTCAGCTTTTAGTAGGTCCTCATCCTTTTTTTTTTTTTGTCTTTCATGACATGTTTGAGGACAGGCTAGTTTGTAGAATGTCCTCAATTTGGGCTCTTATGACTGGATTCAGGTTAAAAGTATTACATAAGTTGTGTGTCCTCAGTGCATCACTTCAAGAGGCATATGATATCAATTTGCCCCCACTGGTGGTAGTCACACCAACAACTTGGTTGAACGTAATGTCTCAGATTTCTGCAACGTAAAGACACCTTTTTTTCTTTGCAGTTAAAAAGGAATCTATAAATAACCCGTTCCCCACTAAATTTTCACCAATAATTTGAATGCCTACTTTGCCCAAGTAGATTATAAGGCTTACAAAAATACCATTCTTTCTACATTTATTCGTTGGCATTCTACAAATAAGGTCTTTTCTCCATTATTTATTTACAACTTTTCGTGTCAGTCTGGTCTCATTTTGTTCTTTAGTTCAATTTGTTACATCCCTTACTGTGATTAATTTTAAAATGTTTTGTTGAGGTATAATTTGCATACAGTAGAGTGCACAGATCTTACGTGTGCATCTTGCTGAATATATGTGAACACACCTGTGTAATCACCACCTAGGTAAACTACATTTCTATTTCCCCGGGAGGCTCCCTTATGGTCCTCTCAGTCCCTGATTTTGGCCAGTGGCAACCCCTTCTTGTGTCCTTCTGATAAGTCCCCACCTTTCTTCACTTACTTTCTGGCACAAATTATTCCAGGCTCATCTTGTGCTTTATCTGCTCCAGCCTGGGAATCAGCCATTTCTCCCAATAAGCCCTGGTTCCTTTTACTGGGGACTGTTACCTTGAAATCCGTATATAGACACTGGCTGTGCTCATTCTACGGGGATGTTATTGCTTCTAGGCCGTTTCAGAGGTTAGAGCTAGAGTATGTCTAATTTTATGTTTTAAATATTTTTTAAAAGTCACACCTCCAATTTAAATCGTAAGGTTCTTTCTCTCCTTGCCCCATTCCAAATTCCATATTCCCACAGTAAGAATCTTGGCTGCTAACTACAATATATCAGTATGTGTATTCACTTGCTCAATTTCAGAATAATTATCCTATTATGCTGACCAAATAACAAACCTGCTAAATAAAGTTCAAGATTCCTTTGCAATTATTTTGTCTTTAGATTGATGGTATAAAGTCAAAGTACTCCGTCAAAAAGTTACTTGATTTTTCACCTCTGACATGATTGCATCCCAAAGTGACATTTCTAAGATATTATAGAAGATTAAGTGAATTCATTCTGTGCCTCTTTCGCTGGCACATAACTTCCACAAAGGTTGGGACTTTTTTTCCCGTTGCTGTTAGTCTAGTGCTTAGACGCTCAACAAATATTTGTTGAATGAGTAAAGTGAATGCCAGGGTTGAGCTGTGCCCTGAGAAAGCTTATGAAGCAAGTCGCACCTGGCAGAATCTCACAACCTGGTAGGCTTAGAACAGAGTGTGCTCCTCCTCAAGGCTTTGGGGGTGGGGGGTGGAAGATTGGGAAAACGTATAACCCCAGAAGGTGAGCACTAGGGCTCTGGAGGTATTCAAGGAGTTGGAGAAGCCACAGGACGAGGCATCCTCTTCGGGCTGACGGACCGTGGCAAGTCCAAGTCCGCACCAAGTGGCTAAGTTGGGGTCCAAGCTGTGTGCTCCGAGCGTTTGAACGTCTGAAGTCGGCCCCTCAAGGCAGGCGCTTTGGACCTGCTGCTAATACAGAGCTGCATTCAGATAGGGATGCCGGGAGGCGATTGAGCGTGCCCTGCCCAAGCCGGGATCAGAGGCGCAGCGAGTCCCGCATGCCGGCAACCCAGAGGCCACGCTTCCCGGTAAACCTAACTTCCGGGTCCCGATCCAGGCGTCCAACCGCTCTCAACAAGTTCCGTCTTCGGCTGTCCAGAACAGATGCCATGCGCTGATTGGCCATATTTGAAGCCCCGCCCTAGCGTCGAAGTCTCCTGTAAACTCGGAGTTCCGACGCCTGCACGAGCCTTGGGACTCTCAGTTTCCTATTGGACCACCAGCTTCCAATCGGAAGGGTTTCTGAACCTCAGTCTTCCGGCGGCGCAGGCTATTGGCGGACAGGATGGGGGCGGAGCCTGAGATCGCCCGGCCCCTCCCGGGGGTTAGGTGAGGACCTGCGGGAGAACCCCGCGACCCAGAGGCTTCGCGTCGGCCCTGGCTTCTCTCCCCGCCTCCGCGGGTGAGTCTGCGCGGGACCCCGCGCCCTCTCCCAGCGCTCGCCCAAGTGCGCTTGCGCAGCAACAGCCGCCGGCCCGTGTCCCCCTTTCCTGTTTTCCACGCCTTCTCCCTTCCCCTCCCCCGCCCCGACCTGCCGCCCCTATCGCTCCCTAGGCCCTTTAGCGGGGTCTCCCCAGTCCCAATCCTCCCCCCACCCCGTCCCCATCCCCCAGGATCCTGGCGCCTCAGCCGCAAGGCCTGTGCCTCCGCGAGCCGCGATGTGCGTCCTCTCAGAGCCTGTGGGCCTCCCTGCCTTCAGGACCCTCCATTTCCTCCACACAGGCCCCCGCCTCCTGCAGAATGACGCTGGACGTGGGACCGGAGGATGAGCTGCCCGACTGGGCCGCGGCCAAAGAGTTTTACCAGAAGTACGACCCTAAGGATGTCATTGGCAGGTGAGGCCACTGCCAGGGAAACGGAGGTCCGGAGAAGTTGGGTCCTCGCCAGGATATTTCTAAATGGGAAAGGTCAGCGGTTAGTAAGGGAACGTTTGGAGACTAGATTCTTAATCTGGGTCAACCCCTAATTTTTCAGTTTATTCATTGATGTGCTTTACGAACGTAGTTAAGTACCTACCGTTTGCCAGACAAAGCTAAAACGGGAGTTGGGTAGAAGAGATGCTTATGCCCTGGAAATACTCCAAGTGACTGAGAGAGACCTGTGAACATCACAAAGTACCAGGCTGTGTAAAAAGTGTTGTGGGGGTCTCAGAAAACCACAGCTTCCCAGAAGAGGTGATACTGGGTCTTGCAGGATGAGTAGGAGTTCAGCACGCAGGGAATAAAGGAAGGCATCACCTGTTGAAGCAGTGGCAGGTATGTTTATTCATTGAAGGTTTCCTAAGCATGTAGAGTGTGTTGGGTGAATGGTGCTAAGCACTTGGGATACAAGACCCACAAGGTTCCTGTTCTCCTCAAAATTATGTTCTAGTGGTAGAGACAGACGATAAACACGAAAACAAGATAAAATTCAACATACGTGCTATGGAGAAAATAAACGGGGACGGAATGAGAGTAATTAATGCAGCTGAGACCTGAAGGATGTGAATGAACAGAGCATGAGATGAGGCAGGATATGAGGTTGGGCAAGTAAGTTTGCAAACTCATCCTAGAAAAAGTGCTACGTACCTCATTGCTGAATATCACTACGGTCACCTTTGAAGTACTCCCCCTGGGAAGCTATGCACTGACGCCAGCACCTATTCCACCCTTCAAAACAATTTCAGAACTCTTTTTCTCGAATGGCCATCAGAGCTGTTGCCGTATTCCCTTTGATGGCCTGAATGTCATCCAAATGTCTTCCTTTCAACATTTCCTTTATCTTCGGGTAAAGAAAGAAGTCACTGGGGGCCAGATCAGGTGAGTAGGGAGGGTGTTCCAATACAGTTATTTGTTTCCTGGGTAAAAACTCCCTCACAGACAGTGCCGTGTGAGCTGGTGCATTGTTATGACGCAAGAGCCATGAATTGTTGGCGAAAAGTTCAGGTCGTCTAAATTTTTCACGCAGCCTTTTCAGCACTTCTAAATGTAACAGTAAACTTGGTTAACTATTTGTCCAGTTGGTACAAATTCATAATGAATAATCCCTCTGATATAAAAAAAGGTTAGGAACATTGTTGCAACAAGTTCACGAACTTAATTGTCAGACCCGGTATATTCCGGGCAGAGGGAACAGCAAGTGCAAAGGCTCAGGTAGGAAAGGCCTATTTAGGATTGAGGAGCACAGTGGCTAGAAGTGGGAAAAGGAGGAGGAAATTAAATGTGGAGAGGTGAGGAGAGGTAAGGTCTTAGGCTACGATAAGTAATTTAACTTTTAGTGAAACTGGTCATTTCAAACAAGGTAGTAACATGATATGCTTTACAGTTCTGTGATTTGTGGGCTAGGAACTTAACCTTTCCATGCCTTGGTTTCATCATGGTAATTGGGAATAAAAATAGATCATACTTTGTAGGTTGCTGTGAGGATGGAAAGAGTTAACATGATACTCTTAGCACACTTCCTTGCACATGGTGAAGTGCTCAATACAGATGTGTTATTACAGTTAAAGAAGAACATTCTGGCTCTTATGTAGAGAAGGATAGGAGCGGGCAAGCATGGAAGCACAAAGACCAGTTAGGAAGCTACTGATTCATGCAGATGAGTGGTGGTAATGGTTTAAGACTGGAGTGGTGGTGGCAGAGATGGAGAAAAGTGGATAGATATAGGCGGTGGTCTGAAGGAGACTTGATACAGTTTACTGAAAGATTGGATATGAACCATGAGGGACAGGGAAGTAAACAAGAATAACTTCTAAGGTTTGGATTTGAGCACTTGAGTACCATTGACTAAAATGGAGAAGACTGAGAAGGATCATATTGTGGGGAGGGGCGGGCAAGTCTAAATTTCCGTTTTGGAAATGTTTGAGATACACAGCTGGAACTGTCCTTTGGGTCTGTGAGTCTGGAGCTCAAGGGAGAGAGCTGGGCTAGAGCTATAAACTTAGGAGGCATCAGCATAGGCTGTAGTTGGCGAGAGAACATAAACAGAAATGAAAGGGGCTGAGCTCAGGACCCGGAGCGTGTTTCCTGAAGGGGTTGGAGGAGGAGGAACCAGCAAGGGAGACTGAAGAGATGCTGTCTGTGAGTTAGAAAGAACTCAGGAAGAAAGTGCTTCTGGAAGGTCGGCATGGTCTGCTGCAGCAGATGCTGCTAAGGCCAGGAAAGCGGACTGGATGTGTGCATTAGATTTGTTCAGACTCTAGATATGTTGTAGATATCACATGTAGATGTCAAAAGGCCATTGTAATCAGGAATTCTGGAGAGAAGTGAAGGCTCAGGACTGTGTAGCAGGAGTCATTTACACATAGTTGGTATTTAAAGCCCCTGGGACTGGATGGAGATCACCAGGGTTTCTGTACCAGGGAAGGGAGGGTTCATGGAGGCAAGGAAAACCCTTAGGGAAGAACAGTGGTTCCACTTGTAAAAAATGTTGTATGTATGTGGCAGAGGTCTCCAGCTTCTGAGAGTCATTAAAAGATGAGTAATGGTTAAACTTGGGCCTCAGATTCAGACTTTCTTAGGGGTCAGGGAAGAAATGAAAACTGAAGTGGCTGTAAGACAGTTGGAAGTGGTGAGCATTGTGGCAGCTGAAGGGTTCGTCTCCCACCAGAGATGTGGATTCAGATTTGTAAAGAACATGGCACTGACCGAAATGTCATGGATCTATGGTCTGCGTCTGGCCAGAGGGTCAGTAGTTTGCATCCTGTGATTGAACTGGATGTGGTGACAGGCATTGCGGGCAGGAGGCCATGCGCTCACAGCAGTAAGGCTGTGCAAATGGCAGCCAGGGAACCAGTACAAAATGTGGTGTGAGCGTAGACCCTGGAGATATCAGTGCCTTAGCCTGAGCTGTGTGTAGGCTCGTGTGGAGTTGGTGACATAGCCCAAGCGAGGAAACCCCTGTCTGGGACTTTCTCTTTATAAGCTAGGTGGGCTTTCCTGGCTGTGCCCCATGGATGCCTTCTCAACATCCCTTCAAGATCCTGTTGGCCACATTTCAGAGCTGGCGAAGTGGAAGCCCAGAGACTTATGTCCATGGGTCACCTGGAGGTTAATTAGTGGTGAATTGGGGCCTGAACCAAAGTCCCCTGATTCTCGACTTTGGTGTTCTAGTCAGAGAGAGGCCTACTATTTATTTAGAGCCTCCTGTACTTGAGGGGAACGTCAGGATTTTGAACTGTGGGGTAGTCGGGAAGTGGAGTCAAATTTGGAGGGAGCCCCAGATCGTTTCCTCCCACTTTCTCCTTGTGGGTTTAGGGCAAGGAGCAGCTTCTGTGGCTCAGTGGGGAACAGACTTGCTCAGTAGGATCAGCCATGGGCAGTTTGAGGCTGGGACCCCTGCCTGCCTTCCTAGGAGCTCGGTGTTGCCCCGTGCTGGTGCCCAGGTGGCTTGCTAAGGCTACTGTGAAGCCGCGTAGACCAGGATGAGCTGCTCAGGAGGCTGCTTGTCCAGTGCAGTGTGTGCGGACGCTGTGGCTCCATGTAGGGAGACAAGGGCAGGAGCCCTGCCTGACTCACATGCTGTCTGGCTCTGGCAGAGGAGTGAGCTCTGTGGTCCGCCGATGTGTTCACCGAGCTACTGGCCATGAGTTTGCTGTGAAGATCATGGAGGTGACGACCGAGCGACTGAGTCCTGAGCAGCTGGAGGAGGTGCGGGAAGCCACGCGGCGAGAGACGCAAATCCTTCGCCAGGTCGCTGGCCACCCCCACATCAGTGAGGCTGCCTTCCCCGCTCCCTTAGCGAGCCCCACCTCCTGCAGGCCCTGCCCAGCCCCTGCCACCCCCCGCCCCTCCCTCAGCATGGCCAGCCTTTGGGTCCCTGCTGCCTCCTGTGGTTCCTTCCTCCCCAGTAACGGCCTGGCCCGCCACTGCCTCAGGGTGGAATGCCCTTTAATGCACGTCGTTCCTTCCCATCTCTGTCTCTGCCTTTCTGCCTCTTTCCCCAGTCACACTCATCGATTCCTACGAGTCTTCCAGCTTCATGTTCCTGGTGTTTGACCTGTGAGTATCCTCCTGCCCCATCTCAGAAGCTGCCTCATCTCCATGCACGGCCCCAGCCTCACGTGCAATGGGCTGACCACCACCCTGTCACACTCCCCTCTGCTCCAGCCAGGACCTGCCCCCCAGCCTCTGGCCCAGCCTGGCCCCTTTCCTGGGTGAGGCAAGTTCAGGACTAATAGTGATCAGTGAAGTTTTTAGGGTCTTTAGGACCCAAGGGGCACTGTTGCAGCCCTTCATGGTTAAAGGTTAGCGGGAAGACAGGGCTGATGTAAGAGGGCCCAGGAGCTGACCGCTTGTGAAGCAGACTCACTAACCTCATGTTTATAGCGCCATGGACTGGTGTCTGTCTGCCTGGCAGGGCTTTTTCCGGTCAGTCTGAATCTGAATGTCAGACGTTACATGATAGAATGCCAACCAGTTGCAAAGGCACTTCAAAGGGAATGGTTCAAATACCAACTATTTAAGAGAGGCCCTTGGAAAAAATGCACAGTCTTCCTACAGAAATGACCCTCAGTGGAAGTTCAAGGGGAGCTAGGAAGCGTCTGTTTTACCATCATGCAACTTTGCAGAACAAGGATAACTCTCCAAAACAATACCCAATGTGTTTTTCATATTCCAAGGTGTAACGCAATTATAACCTCAAATTTTTAAAAGAAGACAAAATATAGGCAAAATTCAAAATAAAGTCCTATTTAATTTTTTTGCCACTATTAACTGAAATTTTGGTCAAGGACCTCCTGTAAATTACTGGCACAAGAAGGCACTTATTCTTGCTGAAATAGCCCCCTTGTGGCACAGCACGTCGTTCCGCTGCCAGCCCACTGGGCCACACCGCCCTGCATTCGGCTCCCTTTGGAGTGCTGTCCCAGACTCTAGTTTGTCACAGAGGGATCTCTGCTGGCCTCTTATCTGTGAGCACTGGCTTATTTCTCATTCCCCACTGTGGGGACACCTACCTGCCAACCATTCCGTCCCTTAGGATGCGGAAGGGAGAGCTGTTTGACTATCTCACAGAGAAGGTGGCCCTCTCCGAAAAGGAAACCAGGTAATGACTGAGCCTGCAGCCCCTCGGTGACCAGGGAGTGGGGGGCTAGGGACAAGCAGAGGAGACTACGCATCCCACCCCACCCCACCCATCCCCAGGTCCATCATGAGGTCTCTGCTGGAAGCAGTGAGCTTTCTCCATGCCAACAACATTGTGCACCGAGACCTGAAGCCCGAGAATATTCTCCTAGATGACAATATGCAGATCCGACTCTCAGATTTTGGGTTCTCCTGCCACTTGGAACCTGGCGAGAAGCTCCGAGGTGAGGGGGCCTGGGCCTGAGACTGGTGGGCTGGGTATGAACCCTGTGTCCCAGGTGCCAAGGAGGGGAAGTTGCTGAGCACATGCCATTTGCCCTCTGGGTACAAAGTCTTGTATGCAGCTCAGAGTGGGTATCTTGACCCGGGGAGGATGGAGACAGAAAGGTAGACAGGTGAGTGGCACACAGCAGGGCTTGGAGGAAGGAGCACCTGATTTAGCTGGAGGGACCCATGGAGCAGGGGCTCCGGAGCTGAGCCTTGGGAGGCTGGGCCTATCCCAGGAGGAAAAAGGGGGAGAGGCGGGATAATGGGGCTGAGCTGTACTTTTGGTGTCTGGCGGAGACAGAACCAGTGTGCTGCCTAGGTGCCAAGAGGGGCCTGATGGGGACAGATGGCACTTCTCACCTGGGACGCTGGGACTCAGGCTCACCCCACGTTAATATTTTGTCGTGCCAGAAATATTCCTGGTGCAAATGGAAAAGTAAAGTTGAACTACAGGACACCCCCCACTTCCCGAGCTGTTACTGTGCTGCCTTCTGTCCCTCAGTGGCTTCACCATTTACTGGCCACTTACTGTGAGCAAGGCCCCACTCTGAGTCCCTACATGGCTGATTTCTCTAGATCCTCTCATAGCTGTTTTGAGATAGATGGGATTTGTGTCCCCATTTTATAGATGTGTACTGATTAACCCAAAGTCACGTAGCTGGGGCTTGAACTTGGGCAGCCTGACTCCAGAACTCATGCTTAAGCTGTGCATGTGCACGTCTAATGGATGCTGTGCTGTTTCCCTCTGGGCTCCTAGATACTTGTCCTCGTTTTGGAATCACCTTGCCCCGCCTACTCTACTCTCTCCCTGGGCTTGGGGATTTCAGGCTTCACTTGAAAGCTCTAGGTCAACTCAGAGCCCTTGCATTCTGTTCTTTGCTCCCTTCCTAGCACATGTCTTCCACTGTTTCTTGCTTGCTTCCTGGTAGACAGTTTGGTGAGGGCACACATAACTCTCCTGGGGCCGGTGTGTTGCTCCGTACGTGGTAGGCAGTAAATCCTTAGGGTAGAATGAGTTCCCAAGATACTCACTTTCAGTTTTGGCTCTTAGATCTCCTGGAAGTGTGCTATGCAGTGCAGTTGGAAATTGCTGGGGTGGAAGAATTGTGCCTGGAGTGGTGGAAGAAACTAAAAATCCAGGCTTGGATTGAGTCATGGGGGCTCCACTGTAGGAGACGACTTGATCCTGAGGTCATAATGGGAGCCAGGGTCGGGCTTTGAACAGGGAACTCACCCCATGTGTGCTTGGAGGGGTCCCACACTACCTCTCGTCCCCCCTGGTTTCCCCTTACTCTGCTAACCAGAGTAAATTCTAGGAGGAATAGGTTTGGGCAGGAAGGAACGCAGAAAAGATACGTGTGTTATGTGAAATATTTGTATGTGAAAACGTGGTGACGTGCTGTATGAGGAGGGGGTGGGTCGACTGTGTGGGGCCTTGAAGGCAATTTGAGTCAGTTTTTCTCAAAAAGGTGTTCAGCAGGGTCAGGGTCTAGTACTGGGACTTGGCAGGGGCTGGTGACATGCTACCCACCTCAGCCCTCTCTCCCCAGAGCTGTGTGGGACCCCAGGGTATCTAGCACCAGAGATCCTTAAATGTTCCATGGATGAAACCCACCCGGGCTACGGCAAGGAGGTCGACCTGTGAGTTGTGGTGTCCCCTGCCCTCTCGTGCGCCCTTCAGCCCTGCGTCCTGCCTGACCGCCTCTCTTTCCTAGCTGGGCCTGTGGGGTGATCCTGTTCACACTCCTGGCCGGCTCGCCACCCTTCTGGCACCGGCGTCAGATCCTGATGTTACGCATGGTCATGGAGGGCCGCTACCAGTTTAATTCCCCTGAGTGGGACGACCGGTCCAACACCGTCAAGGACCTGGTGAGTTGGGGCCATGGGGCGAGGGAGGAGGCCCGAGAGCTGCTGCTCACGCCCTGGCATCCCCCCAGATCTCGAGGCTGCTGCATGTGGATCCTCTGGGGCGCCTGACTGCCGAGCAAGCCCTGCGGCACCCCTTCTTCGAGCGCTGTGAAGGCAGTCAGCCTTGGAGCCTCACCCCCCGTCAGCGCTTCCGGGTAGGTCTGAGTGCCCGGGCTGGGCCTGTTGTCCCGTCACCCATCTCCCATGGTGGGTGCTGCACTGCAGCTCACTTTCCCCTCAGGTGGCAGTGTGGACAGTGCTGGCTGCTGGGCGCGTGGCCCTAAGCTCCCACCGAGTTCGGCCGCTGACCAGGAGTGCGCTGGTGAGGGACCCTTATGCGCTGCGGCCAGTACGGCGTCTCATCGACAGTTGTGCCTTCCGCCTCTACGGGCACTGGGTGAAGAAGGGCGAGCAGCAGAATCGGGCGGCCCTCTTCCAGCACCAGCCCCCTGGGCCGCTCCCTTCCATGGGCCCAGAAGAGGAGGGGGACTCAGCCGCTGTCACGGAGGATGAGGCCATGCTGGCGCTGGGCTAGCACCCCAGTCCTGGGGAATCACGGAAGTAGGACTCTCTAGGAGCAGGATTTCTATCATTCCAACCATTCTGGGCTCTGTCCAGGCCCGCCGCTTATCACATTATCATAATGACCAACCCGGTAGCCCCACGCCCACTGGCCAATGCTTTGAGATCAGAGCTGAGGTGGAAGGGAGCTGCTCAGAAGGCCACGCCTGGTTGTCTTAGTGCTGCGTATGCAATAAAAGCTGTTACATGCCCAGGAGAGCAGTGCCCTGTGTCTGATGTCTGGCCTGGGCAGGGAAGCCCAGGGGTGTTCAGAATGGGAGGACGGAGACGAGGCCGCTGTGGCCAGGCCTTTATTGGGGAAAACACTGGGGGTCACTTGGCTTTGCTCTTGCCTTTGCCTGGCGGCGGCTGGAAGAGCTGCTCCAGCGCAGTCAGCTTGCTGCTGAGCCTCTCCTCACTGGCCTGGAGCCGCTCCTCCACCAGCTGCTGGAGCTGCACCAGCTCCTTGTTCAGCTGGCTCTTGATGTAGGTGCAAAGGATGGCAACCTGGCCTGCAGGGCGGGGAAAGAGCACATCAGGGGAGATGCCACTTGGGGCTGAAGGATACCCCAGTTGGGCAAACAACTTCCAAGATGCCCCTGGGGGCTACGCAGGTGGCAAATGTCAGCCAGCCCTCCTGGGAGAGGTGGGCAGAACAGCTGTGCCCTCCTCTGTCTGCTTAGCAGCTTAGCAGCTGCTTGGCAGATGATTTAACCTTTCTGTGCCTTAGTTTCCTCCCGTGTAAGATGTGGGTACTGGCAGCACCTGGCATCTAGGATTGAGGGAGGATGAAATGGGTTAATATGTGCAAAGTACTTAAAACAGGGCTTGCCTGGAACACAGTGTTGCCAGATAATGTGCTGGCTATTACTGGCCGTTCTGGGGCTCCCGCCTCATCCCGAGCAGCTGTGCTTTTATCTGTTTGTCATCTTGGACTTCTGCATGAGGACTCATTTGCAGAAAGGACACCAGGACAAAAACAGAAAGCCTGAAGTCCCAGTGTGGTCTAAACCCTTGGTTTTATACCTGCCCACCAAGGTCGGGGAACCCCGGCCCTCCAGGTCCTCACTTGGCTCCTGCTCTGGCTCCTCAGCTGTTTCTGGTTCCTCCTCCTGCTGGGTGACTGCTCGCTCCTCCGCCTCCTTGGAGCCTTCTTTCTCTGCAATCCAGAAGCAGGAAGAGGCATGAGGCTTCAGACCCAGGCCCAGCCCTGGACCAAACATTCTCCCCTACCTGTCTCCTCTAGTGAGAGCTGGGGTAGCTGCAGCCCCACGTACGTCAAAGACAGATCCAGCCGTACCTGGGAGGAGGAAGAGAGCGGCTGCGGAGGGCATCTGCAATGAGGGAAAGGGGAATAAGGGCTGTCTTGGTGCCCAGGGCCCAGTACCTGGGGTGTGAACACGTATTTGTAGAGCTTGAAGTGGCGGAAGTAGGTGTTGACCACATAGTCTGCTAGGGCCAGCAGCTGCTCCTCCTTAAAGAGGTTGATACTGAAGGGGGGCCGCTGTGGGAGGGACTGGGAGTTAGAGGACTTTGCTTCAAGTGCCTGGCAGTCCAGGAGCAGGGAGAGCCCAGTGTGGCCCTCAGGGGACGGGGAGGCTGATGAGTGTGAGACAGGGCTGGAGACTGGGCTGACCTAGTTTGGGGGAGGCAGGGTTCAGGTCAGGGGAACTGACCCTGACTCCATGGCAAAAAAGAACACTGGTGAAGTAGCGGTAGCATTCCTCCACATTGCCCAAGGGGGTTGCTGAGAGGGAAAGCGAGATGTAACGGTGAGTCCCTCTGATGATCACTCATTCATTTCACTCAACAGTGACTGATTGAGTAGTAGCTTCACAAATGGACAGAGGGAGGTTTAAGAGCTGGCATGTTTCGTTGGTGTGCTCTGCACATACTGAGTACCCGCTAGTACTGTTCTGGGCACTGAACAGGGCACCAGGGTCCTGCCCGTTAGAGGCTCAGATCCTAGTGCCATGACACACAGTTAACCAAGAAATACGTAATTCCAGCTCTTGTTAAGTATCCTGAAGAAAACCAGTGCTGGGGACAGGGGGAAAAGCAAAAGCTATTTTACCGAGCACTGCGCATTTATTTATATTTCTCAGAACAGTCTCATAAACTTAGTGCTATATCCTTATTTTAAAGGTGAAACAACTGTGGTAACACTGCCAGTAACGGCAGAACAGGTCCAGGTGGTTATCCCCCTACTTATGCTTCCCCTGGTCGCTTGTGCTATCAGCCTCTTTGTCCCTGGGCTCAAACGTCCAGTAGCCGCCTCCTCTCACCAACACAGGCCTGGTGGAGATCCTGGAGCAGGGCACAGGCCGCTGACATCTGCTCCGGTGAGAAACTCTGCTGGCGGCAGAAGATAAGTGCGTGGGAGAAGAGGTCCAGAGTGATGGCATCCCGCAAGCCCCGCTGAGGGAAGCCTAGCCCCAACAGCTCGGCCAGTGCCCTCGGGAGGGAGAGAGGAAAAGAGGGAGGAGCGAGTGACAAGAGGAGCCTCCTTCCAGGCATTCCTCTTGGCCTCCCAGTCCACCCCAGCCTTTCTCACAAGCAGGCTCCACCTCCCTTCCCTACCCCCCCATACTCCATCAAGTCCTCAGTGTTGGCGGTCTTCTCCAGTCTGTGCATGGAATGGATGTCCAGGTACTTCCTGTCACAGGAAAGAGGAGAGAAGGTGTTAATGGCCTTTATGCACTAGTCGCGTAGCAGGGTTAGAGCACTGTACTGGGAACCAGGAGACCTTAGTTTGCCACTTGGCTTGTCCACTAACTTACTGGGTAGACAAGCCACTTCCTTCTCTGGGTATGACCTAAATGAACTCTTAAGGATCCTCTTCAATATAAAGCCTAGGTTCAGGAAGCTTGAGTTCTTGTCTCTGTTCTGTCGCTCCCTTGTTGTGACCTTGGGCAATCTCCCCCAACTCCCGGCCCCTGCCATGGGCCTCAGTGTCCCCATTGTACAGTGCTCCAGAGTAGCTGTGCTACTCTATCTACATCCTCAGTCTCTGGCTCCTTCCCACACTCTCTGGCCTGCAGAAGCAGGAGAGCTGCTTCTAGTCACCTTGGGGAATTGCCTCGGTCTCACCTGTAAAGTGGGGATGCCCCTGGCTGTTGGGGAGGTACTAAAGGAATAATGCGGTAGTGAAGTGTAACTTTCCGCCAAGGCTCTCACACTCACCACATGCAGATCCGGGGCCGGGGCAGCGGAGGCTGCGAAGAGAAAGCGGATTGGACCAGGACCCTAGTCCCTGGCCCATAGCGAACCTCCAGCGGGACTGAGAACTCGCCACCTTGCCTTCTCATCTTAAGGGCTATGAACGAGCAACGCCGGCGGGCCCAAAGTCCTACTATTCATAAGCGTATTAAAAATCGGGGTCACACACTCGCCTTTTAACCAAGGCAGACCAGGAAACGTCTTGAATGTTAGTAAACATAACGACGGGCGGCGCCCCACCGGGGAGTCCTTTTAATAAACATTCATGAGCCGACCACTCTGCCCCGTACTCACCGGGAACAAGTTCACTGCAGGATCTTCATCCGCTCCCACTGAGGCCGTAGTCCCCAACTCGGTCCGCACACCTGTGCCCACAAGCGTGGCCGACTCCTCCACTGAGCTGAGGTCCTCGGGTTCCCGCCACAGCTCGGAGGGCTGTACCAGCTCCGACTGCATTCTCAGTCCCTGGAATAGGCTGGACTTCTGGCGGATCATCTGGTCACCGCTCCGCGCCGCAGTCGCTGTCCAGCCTCTGTGCTTAGACCATCGATTTTCCGCCTGAACTTCTAAGGCCTGACCTGTGACCGTTGCTAAGGGGCTCGGGGGAAGAAGATAAAGTGTGATGCTCTCGCCAATCAGTGAGAAAGAGAATGCGCGTGCGTAGTAAGTTGCTAAGTGCACCCGTTTGCCTGTTTCAAAGTTGCTCACAGGAGAGGCAGGCGCTGTTATTCGGAGTGGGCGGTGAGTATGTGGTGTCGGCTGAGGGTATGCGGTGTCAGTTACCATGGGAACTGTCTTCTGGCCAATCACCGAGAGGAAGAGGAGGTGTTCTGGAAGAAACCAAACCAGACCCGAGAGGCGGGACGAAGAATGACCAATAGAAACATGAAATGAAGCTCCGCTACATCCGGAACAGCCTCTGGCGCCTGCGCCTGCGCTCTGTGCTGGGGGAGCCCGGTGATGTCCGGTGAAATCCAAGATGGTGGCGCTGGGTTGAATTCGCTGCCGGTGAGGGGCCCGGGGCCGGTGGGGGTGGGATTCAGCAGATGTGTGCGGGGGAGGATTGGGCCGCGGAGCACGGGCCGCGTCCACATCTCTGCTCTCTGTCCTCAGCAGGTGACGGAAGCGCCACCGCCACCCGCCTGACGTCCCTCGGGAGACGCTGCGCCTCTCCTTGCCGTCGCGGCCATGTCTGGGCCTGGCAACAAACGCGCCGCCGGCGACGGGGGCTCGGGCCCCCCGGAGAAGTTGAGCCGCGAGGAGAAGACCACAACCACTCTCATCGAGCCCATTCGTCTGGGGGGCATCTCTTCCACGGTTCGTGGGCTCCCGCCCCAGCCGTCACGATTTGCCAGAACCCCATCTCCGTGCTCCTCCCAAATCGTCCAGAACCTTTCCCCAAGTTTAGCAGGATCCAGTTCACAAAACACTCGGTCGTAAGAAACCAAGGACACGACGTCTGCTTTCCCTTTACAGATAGGAAAACAGACTCCTGAAGGCCGTGTGCCTTCTCAGAGACTCCAAAGTTAGGAAGAGGCAGACGCGGAGGGCTGCCCTCCTCACAGCCAGGACAGGCTCTCTGGGGTGGGGGAGGTCTGAGCCTTTTTAACTCCTGTTGGCAGTTAGTGTGTGTGGGGGGGATACCCACCCCCTTGTCCCACCCATGCCATTCGCTTCCCTTTGTGTCTCTGCCCTTGGTTTCTCGGGCCCTGGTGACTCTCCTTAGCCCCTTTGTTTCTTTGGTAGGAGGAGATGGACCTGAAGGTTTTGCAGTTCAAGAACAAGAAACTAGCAGAGCGGTTGGAGCAACGACAGGCTTGCGAAGATGAACTCCGAGAACGAATTGAGAAGCTGGAAAAGCGGCAGGCCACTGATGATGCCACACTGCTCATTGTCAATCGCTACTGGGCCCAGGTGGATGCCCCTCTGCTTTCCAAGACCTGGCCTTGATCAGCTGCCAGTCCTCAGACTCCTCTGCTGGGAATGGAGTGTCATGCTGAGAAGCACCTGAGGGACTCATAACATTTTTGGTGCTTTCTCCCTTCAGCTGGATGAAACTGTGGAAGCCCTTCTCCGACACCATGAGAACCAGGGGGAGCTGTCTTCAGGGACAGAGGTGCCTGGGACCCAGGAGGGGCCGACATGTGACGAGACTCCTCTCACAGATCCAGGGACATCGGAACTAAGGGGTAGGACCACAGCCGTAGGCTCTGGGGAGCTTAATGAAGTTCTGGGAAAGGTCCTGGAGAGGAGGGGACTCTGATGTTAGGCTCCTGAATCCCACACATGCACACAAAATTGATTTCATGTTTGAGCAGCCGAGTGCAGTGAGTAAGAACACAAGCTTTGAAAGCTGAGTGACATGGTTCATAGTGCAGTTTGTGTGTTTTTTTTGTTTGTTTTTGGGGTTTTTTTGTAGAGGGCAGTGTCACTGGCCCTCACATGTGGGATCCGAACCAGGGCCCTCCGGCGTCCCAAGCCAGTTCTCAACCATCACGCCACCTGGCCGGCCCTGCAGTTTGTGTTTTGACACTCAGTTCAAAAAAGTATTAATGTTGAGTGTTGACTATATGCTTGGCACCGGTCTAGACTCGAAGGAGACAGATAAACAAAAAGAAACACTATTCCTGTCTTTAAGGGGAAAGCCGTTATAAACCACAAGTAAGAAGAATAGGGGCCCCTGAATGGGAACTGGTGTTTGTGATTCTAATTGAGATTGGGAAGTGTGAGAGGGCTTCCCTGGGAGAGTGATTTGGGAACTCTGTGGCCTTGGGGAAATGACCTCATTGATCTCGTTCCACTTTCAAGGTGGGGATGAGTGTTCTACAGGCGTTGGTTGTGTTGGTGCAGTGAGCCGTGGAGTGTTAAGGGGCGCAGTCTGGAAACTGGTGCAGAGCAGCGGTAACTGCTGCTGTTATCCTCATGTTGGTCTGTTCCTCCCTCCTAGAGACACTGCCAGTGCAGCTGCGGCCCCCACTCAGTGAGCCAGCCTTGGCTTTTGTGGTGGCCTTGGGCGCCAGCAGCAGCGAGGAGGTGGAGCTGCAGCTGCAGGACCGCATGGAGTTCTCCAAGGCAGCCGTGTCCCATGTCGTGGAGGCCTCAGACCGCCTGCAGCGCCGGGTGGAGGAGCTGTGTCAGCGAGTGTACAGCCGAGGTGGGTTCTCTGTGCCCTCACCCAGAGCTGTCCATCCCTGTTTGCTTCTCCATGATGGCCCTCAATGCCCCTAGTCTAGCAGCAGCCAGAATCCCCAAAGGAATAAATCATCCCTGCTCTGGGGAAGGGTTAAGTTGTAGATGGGGTCTCTGGCCTTGATTCCTGAAGTTGAACTCTTAAAGAGACAGGGAGAGGAGTTGTTGATTTTAGGGGGGCCACCCCCTTCAGGCTAGTTATCTCTCTAGAGCACTCTGCACAAATCTTGGTGGCGGTTGCAGCTTCACGGGCATATTAGGAAGTTCCCAAGCTTCGCAGGCAGACAGTCTTCTCCCAGCCTTAGTTCTCTCACTCTAGCCTGGGTATTCTGAGCAGATGACGCTCCTCTCTGAGCTGGTTTCCTCCTTTGTACAGTGGGGATAAAGACTCCTGGCTTTGTCATGAGACATTGGCAAGACAGCTGGTGGATCACACTGGGCACATAGCTGACTCCGGAATAAGTTAGGACTTTTCCTCACTGCCCTGGACTTGACTCTTACCTGAGCCCTGCCTTCTCAGGGGACACTGAGCCCCCCGGTGAGGCGGCTCAGGCACATACCCGAGAGTTGGGCCGTGAGAACCGGCGACTACAGGACTTGGCCACCCAGCTACAGGAGAAGCACCACCGAATCTCACTGGAGGTGGGTGTCGGGTTTAGGGGATGGGATTAGAACCAGGGCAGGGTTTGGGTCAGCTGGGCACCCAAGGATCTCACGGAGCCAAGTTCCTTTGTCTCAGCCTCTGCCCTCTGTTTTGTCCCTAGTACTCTGAGCTCCAGGATAAAGTGACATCCGCAGAGACCAAGGTGCTGGAGATGGAGACGACAGTTGAGGACCTGCAGTGGGACATTGAGAAGCTGCGCAAGCGTGAGCAGAAGCTCAATAAGCACGTGGCAGAGGCCTTGGAGCAGGTGGGCTCGGGTGCCGTCTGTGGCCAGACCAGGGCCCTGGAACCTGCTCCTTCCTCCATATTCACCTGCCTCTCTTCTTCACAGCTCAACTCTGGCTACTACGTGTCCGGGAGCTCGTCGGGCTTCCAGGGGGGCCAAATCACACTCAGCATGCAGAAGGTCAGCACGCCCTCCATCACCCTTCCTCTATCCCTGACATTCTCCATAGAGTTAAGGACAGGCATCCAGCTGAGATCTCGGAGGCCCTTCCCTGCCACTTGAGCTGTTTTGTTTTATTCATACACAATTATATTTAGTAAGTGATTGCTGAACATTTAGTGCCAGGCACTCTGCTAGGAAGCAGGCATATTGGAGAACAAAAGACAGAAATCAAAGCTGCCGTGGAGCTCAGGTGCTAGTTGGGGTAACTGACAGTAGACAAAGAAAATTCAGTGGGTTATAAATATATATAGCACAAAGGAAAGCAGAGAAAAGAGGGAAACAGCAGTGTGTGAGAGGCAACTGGGATTCTTAGCTGAGGGCTGAAGCAGAGCCTTGCTGAAAGGGTGCATTTCACCACTGTCTCATTCCTCGCCCTGCCTTTGCTCTCTCACCTCTGGGCTGTCGCACATTGTCTTGGTGCCATGAGGATCACTGTGCCCCGTTTCCTTTTCCTTCGGCTTTTGGGAAGGCTTCCCTGACTCTATGTCAGTTACAAGCCTGGTTCCCAGCACTGCCCATGCAGTTCTGAATTTTCTCCTACTTGCCTGGGAGCTTTTAGGAAAGTACTTGGGTCTGGCTTGTCCGTGGGGCTTCAGAGTGTGTCACTACCACACACATAGAGGACCTTGGGTGGCTTATGGTGGCGATGGGGAAGCATGCCTTCTGGCCTGGCCCCCATAGCCCTTCCCACCTTCCAGTTTGAGATGCTGAATGCAGAGTTGGAGGAAAACCAGGAATTGGCCAATAGCCGCATGGCAGAGTTGGAGAAGCTACAGGCTGAACTTCAGGGGGCTGTGCGGACCAATGAACGCCTCAAGGTGGGCTGTGTTTGGGGTGGGAGGCAGGGGAGGGCCCGAGCCTGGAACGGGCTGAGCCTGACCCTCTCGCCGCTCACTGTGGTGTGCCTCTGCCCTCAGGTGGCCCTGCGGAGCCTTCCCGAGGAGGTAGTACGGGAGACAGGGGAGTACCGGATGCTGCAGGCCCAGTTCTCCCTGCTGTACAACGAGTCGCTGCAAGTGAAGACTCAGCTGGATGAGGCCCGCGGACTACTGCTGGCCACCAAGAACTCCCACCTGCGACACATCGAGCACATGGAGGTGTGGCCCTGGGCTGGGGTGGGGGAGGGGGGGGGGTAAGGGCCAGACCCAGGTCAGGGCCAGGGGGCCCTGGGAATAAACATTTAGGCCCTGAACCTGGGGTAGGGGGCTTGCCGGTGGGAGCCGAGGGCCAGCGTGGATCCTTAATGCCTCAACCCACAGAGCGATGAGCTGGGGCTGCAGAAGAAGCTGCGCACAGAGGTCATCCAGCTGGAGGACACGCTGGCCCAGGTGCGCAAAGAGTACGAGATGCTGCGCATCGAGTTTGAGCAGAACCTGGCAGCCAACGAGCAGGCGGGTATGTAGCGAGGGCCGCTGGAGGAGGCCCCCCTGGGGAGGCCGGGCCTGGTGTGGGTCCTGCTCACCCAGACGCAGGGGGCTAAGCCCTGTGGAAACGCACCACACATGCCACCCGGCTCCAGGGCCGGCCTGAAGGGTCACCTCAGCTGAGGCAGATGATAGAGCTGGATTAGTCAGGTCACGAGCTGTCAGCCCCTGGCCTGGCTCTGCTTCTCGGGCCTTCCACCATCTCTCAGAGATACTGGTTCACTTTGCAAAGATTTAGGGACCACCACCTACAAGCCAGGCTGTGTTCTAGATGTTGGGATTTATACCAGTGAACAGAACGTGGAACTCCGCTGGTGTGGAGAATGTTATGTGGGGAGCCAGGCCATAGAGAAGAAGAAATAGAACCTGTATGTTAGACAGTGACAAATACACCAAGAAAAATAAAGCAGGGAGGGAAGATAGCAAGTGTTAGGAGAATAGTGTTGCGATTTGGGGTAGGGAGGCCAGAGAGATGTGTAACTGAGAAGGTGACATTTGTCTAAATATCTGAAAGTGGATGACTTACTTTGTGAACGTTACAGTTATGTGCTTCTTTGAAGGAAATTTGGAAGTATTAAAAAAGTTGCATTAGCAGAAATAACATAGACAGTGTTACTCCGAGTTACATTTGGGTGAATTTTTTCCAAGTCTATGTTATTTACTTGGATGACTCCCTCCCTGTTAGGCCTCAGATCCCCTCTTCAGAGTGGGCATGATGGCTCTGGCCCTACCTCTCTCCCCACTGAAGGCCTGGGCCCTGACCCAGGGGCCAGTCTGACCTTCGTTCCCACCCTCCCCCAGGGCCCATCAACCGGGAGATGCGCCATCTGATCAGCAGCCTCCAGAACCACAACCACCAGCTGAAAGGGGATGCCCAGCGGTACAAGCGGAAGCTGCGGGAAGTGCAGGCTGAGATCGGCAAGGTGAGGAGGTAGCTGCCTAGGAAGGCCGTGGCTAGACTCCAGGAGCCTGGTCACCTCAGCCCCGTTATCTCCTGTTTTCTGCAGCTCCGGGCCCAAGCCAGTGGCACTACCCACTCCATCCCCAGCCTGGGCCATCCGGAGGACTCTGGCCTTAGTGCTCCAGTCCCAGGGAAAGAAGAGGGTGGGCCAGGTCCTGTCAGTGTCCCTGATGGCAGAAAGGAGATGGCGTCAGCGCCTGGTGCCACCGTGACTACCTCGTCCGTGAAGAAGGAGGAACCGGTGCCCTCTGAGGAAGAAGCCCAGGCCCTCACTCCTGGGGCCCAGGGCCCTTCCTCCCGAGGCCGAGAACCCGAGGCCAGACCCAAGAGGGAGCTTCGGGAACGGGAGGGGCCTGGCCTGGGATCCCCATCTGTAGCCTCAGCGCTCTCAAGAGCTGATCGGGAGAAGGCCAAGGTCGATGAGGTCAAGAGGAAGGAGTCAGAGCTCCTGAAAGGCCTCCGAGTCGAGCTCAAGTGAGGCCCCAGCCCCGCCGCCTCCTTGGCCCTGCCCGTGGCCTGCAGCCCTCCTCACCGGGCTTCCCCCTGTGCCTCCCTCAGGAAGGCCCAGGAAAGTCAGAAGGAGATGAAGCTGCTGCTGGACATGTACAAGTCAGCACCCAAGGAGCAGCGGGACAAGGTGCAGCTCATGGCGGCTGAGCGCAAGGCTAAGGCCGAGGTGAGGACAGGAGGGACTGGCGTGGCCTGGGGGGCGTGCAGACAGGCTGCCCAGGGCCGGCTTATTGGAGCGGAGCCCATGGTCAGGAGGAGCATGACACGCCAGTCCTGGTTCTGATGCTGCAGGTCGATGAGCTGCGGAGTCGCATCCGGGAGCTGGAGGAGCGGGACCGGCGGGAGAGCAAGAAGATAGCTGATGAGGACGCCCTGCGACGCATCCGGCAGGCGGAGGAGCAGATCGAACACCTGCAGCGCAAGCTGGGCGCCACCAAGCAGGTGCGGCCCGGGGTCCTGTGTCCCAGCGCATGTCCTGCATACCCCCTGCATCCCAGCGCACATCCTGTATCCCCCCCTTGGGTCCAGCACACGTCCTGTGTCCCCCACGCTCTCTGCTTGGCCTTCTTTCCCCGGGTCCCATGGCCACCTGTCCCCCTGCGCCTCCCACTGCAGGAGGAGGAGGCTCTGCTGTCAGAGATGGACGTGACGGGTCAGGCTTTTGAGGACATGCAGGAGCAGAATGGGCGGCTGCTGCAGCAGCTGCGGGAGAAGGACGATGCCAACTTCAAGCTGATGTCCGAGCGGATCAAGGCCAACCAGATTCACAAGCTGCTGCGCGAGGAGAAGGACGAGCTGGGCGAGCAGGTTCTTGGCCTCAAGTCGCAGGTACAGCCGCTGGGCCTGCCGGGTGGGATGGAGGGGCCGGAGGGATCCCAGCACTGACTCCCTCACGTCCTCAGGTGGATGCCCAGCTGCTGACTGTGCAGAAACTGGAGGAGAAGGAGCGGGCCCTGCAGGGCAGCCTCGGGGGTGTGGAGAAGGAGCTGACCCTGCGCAGCCAGGCGCTGGAGCTCAATAAGAGGAAGGTGAGGCTGGGCTGCGGGCGGGCACCAACACTTCCTGTGCCCACCCCGGCTCAGGTCGTCCCTATGCAGTTGGATTTCAGCCTCACAGTAGTCCTGTGATGGTTTTGTTACTGTGCCCCTTCCAGAGGGAGGAAGCTGAGGCTCAGCAGGTGAAACCCACACCCTGATCCCTGTGTTAGTTAGCTGTGAAAGGGGGTACTGATTCCTATCACGTAGTTGTAATAAACCTAAGAAATTTCTAGCTCTTGGTAAAGGCTTAAGATGGACATTGATGTTTCTCTTTCCTCACTGGCCTTTTTCCTCCTGCTTCTTGTATGCGTTCATTTGTTCATTTATTCAGTCTTACAGCTGCCCTTGCTCTGTATGCCAGGCCCTGGACTGAGTGCTGGGGACCCTGGAAACGAGGGGCCTAGTGAATGTGGGGACTTCCAGTCTTGAGGGACAGATAACAAGCCAGTAATCTCACAGATAAAATAATTTTATTATATATCATGGTTAGTCTTACGAAGAACACTAAGGTGCTGTGAAAGAAAAACAGGAGACCTTTGGGCTGAGGAGTACAGGAAACAAGTGTGTGTGTGTTGGGGGAGTGGGGGACAGAGGAAGGATCCCTGTGAACATGCAGAGACGGGAGCACATGTGCAGGTGAGAAAGTGGCAGCATAAGGGAGACTAAGAGTTGGGGGGAGGGAGGAGTGTTGAGAGGTCAGGAGGCAGAACCAGTTCCAGTGGCCATACTGGACCTGATCCCCAAAGCAGGAGTCACTGGGACGTTGGACATGAGCATCTGTGGACCATGACACTGCGTGTCTGGCTCCCTGGGCTCAAGGGATGGTGCCCTGTCCCTGTCTCACCCCCCTCAGGCTGTGGAAGCGGCCCAGCTGGCCGAAGACCTGAAGGTCCAGCTGGATCACGTGCAGACGCGGTTACGCGAAATCCAGCCCTGCCTGGCAGAGAGCCGGGCTGCGCGAGAGAAGGAGAGCTTCAATCTCAAGCGGGCTCAGGTGCGGGGGGG